CTCCCGTGATCCTTTGCATGACATTATAATTTCTTCCGATGTTAGTACAGCACTGCCAATACAAGCAACCAAAGGGCATCCGAAAGTAGAAGGGTCAAACAGATCTGTGATAAGTTACGTCGTCGTTTGTTTCTTCAGCCTCTATATCCTCCTTTTGATTTGTTTAGCAGTAGGCATGTTGATATTTCGGTGGGAAATGATCTTTCACCCGCCAGGAAGGGGGTCGGGGATGGAGGGGTATGAACCCCCAGATTCTCAAGCATCAACGACGGCTCCCTGTCGAGAAAAGAATGAACGCCTCCTGACATTGGCTTAGAATGGGGGGGGGGGGGGGGGGGCTCACTTTTAATTAAAGTATGGTTTAATTCGCTCATCCGATATCATATTTTTGACAAGACATAACATAAATAAAATAATGATGTTATGATGACTTTTATTCATTTTTGTATATTTAATTTTTCTTTGTTTTTTATTTGAATTTACTTGACAAGGATTGTTTCATTTAAAAAATATTCTATCATTTACACAAATTGACTTGTGGTTTGTTTTTACAATGAATGAGGTCGAAACGATCATAAATTTAAATGCTTAATGTAAAAAAATAAAATAGCGATACATATTCAACATAATATTGAGCTGATTTAGAGTATCAGTACGGTAGAATAAATTGAAAATAAAATATATGTAGTTAGAGTGTATTTTAGGAGGAATAAATTACGTAACAATAAAAATATACCAACAATTTGTGAAACTTAGTACACACTTCTCAAAATTCAAATTTTACTGTCTATATATAATAATACAAACATTAGTTTTCCATCAGTATTACACATATCTCCACGAAATCATGGATATGAACACTAAAATGATTTATTTTTTTATTTTTATAAAACCAATGAAATTCATAGATATGGAGCTTTATACTTTCATCTATCAATAATGAAGAGATACAATTTTCGTAAATATGCATAATTTTGAATCTCTGTTTAATCTATGTTCATCTTCAATGTTAAGCTTAAATGTGCAACCTAAAGTTTTGGAGTGTTTGATTGTCACTACGTCCAAAAACTTTCCCCTAGGACAAGTTCCCCGTGAATAGCTATCCCGTAGGAAATCTAGCCCTCAGAACCGCCCCACGTCCTCCTGATATACCGTTCCCCTGGAAATTATTTGGTGAAAATATCGGGGTAGCTATTCGAGAGTATTTGTCCTCGGAGGTAAAGGTGTTCTGGGTATTTTGTCCGGGTGGACGTATTTTTCATCATAATACTCCTGATTTGTCTGCTTTACAAAGAATCCTTCAGTAACGGTGTACATAATATGTTTGTCGATATATTCTTTGGTGTCAATGGCTTGTTCTCCATAACATAACTTACATTAATCCAATGTTTAATATGCAACAATAACCTTTTCTTATATGCAAAGATACCGTAACCATTTTTCTTTCATCGCATTATCATTTCATGATTTTGTACAATTGTTTTAAAATTTATTGACGTGTAATTTTTTTTAATCATCTGATTGAAAAGAATAAAATGAACACCTGTTTAAATTAAATGAATGTTTGGAATAAACACACTGTTTATCTTGATGTAAACTATTAGTCATTTGGTTCATGATTTAAGAAATGATAATATATCAAAAGTACATGCTCAACATTTGGGAAGGGGCTTATGGTTATTTTTTATTACAAGAATGCTATCCTCTACAGCTGCTCATGACATAGCCAGAGACTAACTAATAGCATTAGGCTCTGCTCAAGACTATGGAATTTCATGTACGTTAAAGTGTCGAATGAGAGTCTGTGCCTGCAGACTAATTAATAGGATCGTTCTAAAATCACTCTCATATTAAAAATATGACTATAAATAGTTTTCAATTGCCCGTGGATCAATTTTAAGGGCCACATTCCTGTACTCGCATGCATCCATCGTCATTGTTCATGATGATCAGTGAAACTGATTACATTTGATGCCATAAACGCTACACAATCAACCATTCAGAACAACTTCAAGATTTTCTTTCACAGTAAAATTGCATGAAAAGTACCGGTACTCAACTTTACCTTTAATATGAAATGATATAATGATATTCACACGTTACAGTGTATGACATATCAAGTTTATTTGTACAAATAACTATCAATTTACTATCAATCCAATATATTTTCAAAAAATAAGAAATATATTCTGCATAAGAATATGTACACGCATTGAAAAATTGTAAAGGCACATTTATGATATACATCTATTGTATTAATAAGCATACAGTAAGAGTATGAATGCAGAAATTGTACCCTTAAAAACAATCAACATGTCAAACAGAAATCAATATCTGATTTGATATTTTAGCATTTTCTATTCTTCAGTAATCAAAATGGAAGGAACCTTGGAGTAAAGAATAAACCCTGTAATTATATGTCAACTGGCAGAAATGAGTACTCACTAGTAGTTAAAAGTTTGTTTATTTGTTGTTGTTTTATTCAAATTATAGCTCATTTCTATTTGAAGAAAAAAATTGACTGCTCCTAAGATTCTTTAGGTGGACTGTCCTCAATTGCCTTTTAAAGGTTTGTCAAACAATGCCTGTTCAGAGCCGGAAGACTGCTTAGTGCTTACTCTGTATGTGAGTTATTACAGTACACGCCGAAAATCTCCGCAACATGATTTACACGATTCAAAATTTACACGATTCGACTGCTCGCGGGAATCGTGTAACCATTTATTTTTACACGATTCGTTTTTTGCCAATGAAGCGAAATTTGAATCGTGTAAACGTGTAATCGTGTAAAATTACACGATTCCTCAATTCAGGTCGAATCGTGTAATCGTGTAATCTGCCCGCCGAAAATCTCCGCAACACGATTACACGATTCAAAATTTACACGATTCGATTGCTCGCTGGAATTGTGTTACAATTTATTTTCAGTGGTGATGGTGAGCAGGTTAAGGACGTCTATAGTTCAGTAAAAGCAAGAAGTTACTTCTTGGTTGAACGAGGACAACGTGGACGATACGAGGGGATAGCGAAGATTACGCTTTCTTTCTCTTGTATATATTTTTAATTGCAGTGTCTTGTCTCTAGTTTTATTATAGAATGTTTGAAAGTTAAAAAAATCAGTCCACTTCCCGAAAAGCACTCTCGGATTTAATCCTCGGTGAGAAAAAAGAAAAAAGCGATGAACGACGAGGGAAGGGGGGAATTTTGTTATTCCTAAGTTGTAAATAAGTAAAAATGATTACAAAATGTAAAGGAGGGCTAACATAATTAAGTATGTTGTGATACTCTTACATTACAAGGCTGTACCAATTAGAATTACGGTTCACCAGCTCATTCGTTACTATGAATATCGTTATACTTTTTTTTATTCAATCATTATCCATTTTACAAACCTGGTTTGTAAAAACGCGTCATATGACGCACGAAAACCAAGGTTTGTCGACAAACCTCCTTTGTGAATTCGGGCCTTAGACTTTGATCACTTATTGCTTTTTTAGCGTTCCTCATTTTCGTAAATTACCTTTTACAACATTGCATTATTCAGCTATATGTATTAAGAGCTACGGTCAAGGCTTAAGGGCACACTTCCTGTCACATACAAAAGAAGCTTACTCTGAATGTGGCCTGCCATTGACCCTCCCCGGGGACAAAGGCCGTTGCCCTAGCTACAGGCAGAGATCCTTACATAATACCTATTGTTCAGGGGGTTTCCCTTGAACATAGGATCCCACTGAACAATGGGTATTACATGTATGTAAGTACGTAAGCCACTGGCTACAGAGTGTAGGGAACAGTTGCAAGCCGAGAATGAATAGAATAAGTGAATGGCCAACTGTCTTTGAGTTACGTTTAGCTAGCGGCACAGTGTCCCCCCACTTTTTCAAGTTCCCCCAAAGTGCCCCTTTGTATGTAGGAAAAGTACCTATTTTACTTTGACAAGTGTCCCTATTAATTTGTAAGTGCCCCTTCCCCTTTTCAACTCTAATAAGTGCTCCTTTTCTTTTGACACACACCCCTTTTCCTTCGACGAGTTCCTATTTTCCTTTACAATAAGTGTCCATTTTCCATTCTCATTAGTGTCCTTTTAATCTCTAGTAAGTATCCCTCTTTAAGTACGAGAAGTACCCCTCTTCACTTTTGATAAATGCCCCCATCAACTCCGATAAATGCCCCTATTAAAATCTGATCGGTGCCCCTTTTCTTTCAACTAAAGCTTTTTTTATCTCTCTCTCTCTCACTCTCTCTCTTTCTTTCAATTTCTTCCATTCCCCCATATCTTTCTCGCCTCTCTTTCCCTCATTATGTTCCCCTCTTACCTTATTAATTTGTCTCTTTTCCTCTCCGTTTCATAGCCTTCTCATTTCTGTTAATTTTACTAGGTTTCGCCTTCTTTTTTTTATCACTCTATTTCACTCTTTCTTTTCTTCCGGTCAACTTTTTAGTTTTCCCTTTTTTTTCTCTTCTTTTTTCTGTTTATCTTTATCGTGCCTTTCAACCCTCATTTTCCTTTTATATGTTCCCTTCTCCTCGTAGCTGTCTTTTTTCCTTTACTATTTCATCTGTCTTCCTGTTTCTGACGTTTTCCTACCTTGTCTCACGGATTAGTATACGATACATGTTAGTGGAAAGTGCTGAGGTTTATACACGAATATAAAGTACAGTAATTAACTGTTGTACACTGAAGGTAAGTTGTGTATAAAGCAATTGGTGTAAGCAGGATAAGATTTAACGATTGTTGCAGCTTGTCGCATCGTTCTACCAATGCCCTTATAACCCTAATAACTATTTACACGATTACACGATTCAGAGCGACATTCTTCAATCGTGTAAATTTACACGATTACACAGTTACACGATTGTTACATCTGGTCGAATCATCCGACCAATGCACTTAACTATTTACACGATTACACGATTCAGAGCGACATTCTTCAATCGTGTAATCCTAAAAATAAATCGTGTAATCGTGTTGCGGAGATTTTCGGCGTGTACTGTATGACTCCAGGCAGTCGGTATAATAGTGAGTGTACATACTTAAACTTTAGTATGCTCAAGTTCAAAATCATATCTTTCTATTTCACTGTCAACACCATTAAACATTTTATGGGGGATACTATTGCACTGTTATTATGTGCGAATTACCTGACTTTTTAAAAACATGCTTACTTTTAGAGCAGTATGGGATTGCAGTCAGGTGTTGAACTTGGAATTAAGTGTGATACTTAGACTGCAATATGGGCATGGTACAAGTCTCTTATTTTCTTTTAAAGCATGGAAACACATGAACCTTAATATTATCAATATATCAATTAACTCTATAATAAAGACAGCAGCAAAACAATTGATTTTACTATTTTGTATTCTTAGACATGGTTTACGAATTGCACCTTTTTAATGAATTGGGAGTATCAGAAACTGTAATAACTACAATATTTTGTAAATGCAATATAAATTTCAATTTAATTCCTGTTTCGTATGATCTCATGTGGAATTTGTATTAAAAAAATGTAAAATACTCTGAAATCAGCCTTTGGCTGCAGTGCATTAATTGAACTTCAGTGTTGAATTGAATTAAATTGAATGTGTCAAGTTTACCCAGTATTCCTTCAACAGAAACATACAGTGTTAATTTGTTTTTTTTTTTAATGGAAGATATGTCATGCCCAATTGAACAATGACAAAAACTTTATGAAGGAAAGTTTATTAATGATCAAGGTTTTCGAAAATGTAAGACACAGGAGAGGCTACTCCGACATGACCACTTTCTGGGTCATTCGGTGCCATGATGTCCCTTACAACATATGACATTTATCCATTTCTTTCATCCATAAATAAAAAATCTGTTGATGAGACCGCTGACTACTGAATACTGATAGAGATAAAAGAAGAGCTATTTAAATGGTCATATCAATGGATTTCCATTTTTGGATGAAATCAATGGATTTCAAACTACATATGTTTTTTAACGGAACGACACATGGCACGGAATTACCCTCCAACATCCTACTGTTGGGTGACTTAACTTGAATTTCTGTTGATGAAAATTCTGAAAAGCAATAAACGTATGACCCTTCATGTGAGTTAAAATTCTTCCTTTTAAATGAGTTTCATTTCATGCATTGACCGGTTCGGTACTAGGAACTGACCGACTCGTTCTCAAGGCCTCATCACTATCTGTACCTTCAAATCCTGTGCTGGCTTCATTCTTTGCCGGAGGTTTGTCCATGTTTGTGGGCATGGCCTCCTCTTGGGAATGCTCCGTTGCCATGGCATCATGTTTCGTTTCCGTGGGTGTAGCTTCTGTGGAAGTCGGTGACGTCTGTCTTGGTGGGGAGGATGTAGGTGAGCGTTTGTCCGATACGATGGGGGTGGTTTCGTTCGATTCCTGGTCCTTCTTTGGAACCAGTCTGCATTCAGTTGCCATGGTGACTCGAAGCCGCTCCAACCTGGTAGAGTTGAATTTATTGTCGTAGAATGGAAGCCAGAAGAATAACTGAAATGTAAACAAAGAAAACAATAAAAACTACTATCATCAAGGAAGTCAAGGTTGGCCGGTGATTTGAGTCCTTGCTTGACCAAAAGAAGAAAAATATTGATTCAAATCGGTTTCAGTAATGAATTATAACATTTCTTTTAGTGGAGCGGGGGGAAGGGTTGGGGAAAACCCTGACATTTTGACATACCAACACTGCATATGTACTATTGTATAAATGAAGATTAAATAAAATTACTTTTATTTCGTAACTTGAACTTAAATGAACAAAATTGCAATTTTTCATTTGAAATTTTATCAACGAGATAAGTCTTGTCAGGGGAGGGAATATAAATGACAAGAACATCTTTGCTCTTAGAGCATTCATAAAATTAGTAACAACTAATAAATAACAGTAACATGTACACATGAAGCATATAGGTAAAGGCTCGTATTTCATAACTTTCATTTTTTTGGTTATTGATGACAGAATAAATTTATTTCATACATGGGTTGTATAGAAAGATACAGTATTTGTAATAATTGTATATATGTATGATTGACATTGTTTTAAAGGGAAAAAAGAAAATATCTGATTTTTTTTATAGTACACAGCAAATAAAAGTGGACCTTGCAAGATAGGTCACAGATTTACTTTCTTCTCTTCAATCGGATTTGCTCAAACTTTCACTGACCTTTTTCTCTAAGTTTACTGCTTCTATTAAAACCTACTTAATATCAGGGTGATGTGTTGATGATCGATACATGGTACAAATGGAAGAGAGTGGCAAGAATGAAATAGTAAGAAATATATGCATGACATGGGTAAAGTTCACTGCACACCAAACGATATGAATGTTACATAACAAATTGTTTTTCCAAGGTATGATTACAACTTTTTTTTTTTTTTACACACACACACACACATTAAAAATCTTACTGGTTTTAAGGGCTTTCTAAATTTGAAATCTATTTTGATTTCTGCAATTCACAGCTACTGTCCATGGACTTCCGCAATCGTTTTAATCGCCTTGAATTTAGCCCAATATCTAGAAAGGGCATGCTAAATAGCAACTGTAAATAGAAAATAAAAGAAAATAAGACCAACATTACTTAAATGAGAAATAACTATGTGTGTTTTTGATTTTATAAAAGGGCATTCATGGAAAAGAAGGGAGTGAGAAAGTGTCACTGACTGACCAGTCTTGGATGCCACATACTCTATGAAATGAAAGACGATGTGTGAAATACATGTAGATTCAGGTACAATGTAAGTCCAAATTGACACCAAACACTCCCCACTTACTTTGTACCAAGAAAAAAAAATGCAAATCTCAAATGTGTCCCTGAAATGTATCAACAGAATTATGCTTCTTAGGAAAATATTTTGACTTAAATTATTTACCTGAATCAAAGATAGAGAACCCCCCCCCCCCCCCCAATGATTTTATCAACTTAGTTCTATTAATTATCATTATCATTTTTTACTTTTACCAAAGGAAGGAAGTGTTAAAAAGATTTATTAATGATTCACAAATTTATGTAAGGATCTTCAAAGTATCTTTATTACTTCCAATTTTTTCAAAATTCTACTAGCTTTTTTTCTCTGTTTATCTTCATCATTTAATCAACTTCATATCAAGGTGGATTTTTCTTCTTTTTAGTTCTAGCTCTAGAATGAATTTGAAATCAAAGAGGAGTGACATGGGTAGGAGGATAGAATGATTGTGAAGTGCAGGCTTTTGTCATATATTAAAGAGATTATAAAAAAAAATGAACAAAGGGTGGGTAGTGGACTTTTAAAGTGACCAAAAAATTAGAATTCATGCATACAAACAAATCGCAAAGTTAATTACGTTAGTAGGGCCATGTGAATTAGTAAACATACAATGTGTACGAAATGGGTGGATTTTATCAAACAAGAAGTGGCTAATTTGAAAATGAAGGAGTGCAAAATGTTAATTTAATACAGAGGAAAACAGAAAAGAATTTGGAATGTCATTCAAAGTGATTTGATGTTTAATCTGTCATTTCCATTCTAAATGCAGCAAAGAAACATTAAGTGAAAATATGCTCAAATGTGAATTCCGTAAAAGTGCCCAACTGTCTATTAATGATTAAAAACTATTCAAAATAGTGTTTATATGATGAAATTAATGACTAACATGCTATAAAGAATGGTTTCTATATTTTTCACTTTCAAATCATTTCTGTATAAAATAATGTAAAGTGTAATCTTTCTCATGTTATGTTGCTCCTATGATGTTCCTCCTTGTGGGAAACACAGTTAAGAGTAGGTCATGAAATATTTTCAACTTTGATTTGTAATCATCAATCTTTTATGTAGTCTGCCTTAAAGGTGTAGCTGCTTCTCTTTTTCAAGGTTTCTCCCATCTTTTGTAATTTCTAACAGGCATGTTTTGTCTAGGTAAGGCTAATCTGGAATTCAGATAAAAACAGAATTGCGTTTTTAGAAAAATTGACTTTTGCTCTAGAGGATTGTAAAAAAAATGTAAACTTTAATACAAAAAAAAACTTGTTTGAGATCATTTAATCATATGCGACCACATTTTATTAAAATTAATTGGGACAACCTCACCTTTCTGGGCTCATCACTCTACTATAGTACATTTGTATCACTATCATTTGATACATATAATTCATTTGTAGTCTTGACCATTTCAGTGTAATCTTTGCTTAATTCTGTTAGAACATCACATTTCCCGGCATATACAGAACCCAAAAGATTACCGTACTGTTTTGGACAAGAAATATATATTTTTTTAATTCATGGGATAATCACTAATAAGGGACCATTGTAGATGAACTCCAATATAATACTTACCACATTGAATAGAAAGCAAAGTGGGAACCAAGTTGGTAGAAAACCACTGGAGAATGAGAAGCACTGAAAAGAGGTGAAAGAAAGTTAAGGGTTTATAGGTTTTATGCATGGTAACAAAAGTCTTCAGGTAATTTTTCATTACAGGGTTCAATATACATAGTGGCCATTTTAGCACGAAACAATTATGTAACAATGTTACCTATCACAAGACAATACAGTATAAGCATTGGAGAATCTCTGATGAAAACAAGCCCCCATTCTTATTGACTCCATGCAGGTATATCTTTTTTATGGTCATGAGAGGGTTAACAGTACTTAACACTTTAGTTGCTTTCCTTGTTTATCTGCATGGTAACTCATTTGCCAGATGTGCATACTTTCACAAAACAATAGGTACTATTATAACTGAAGAAAGGTTTGCTTTCTTGCAGCACAATGGCTTTGCGAAATTACCCATTTTCCGACTTGATTAGCTCCATGACAACCCTTTCAACATTGGTATAGATTAATCTTGCACTGGAAAAAGTTACACAATCTTGAAGTCTTTGGTGTATCTATCCCATGTTAAAGGGGCTGTAGCATGATCAAACCACATGTCTTTCCCTTGGCCCACGTGGGTCCAATTGGGTATAATACAACTACGGATGACACGACCGGAGTAGGCCTACGTATTCACGTACGTGCAGCATATGCGAAGCGGAAGCATGAGGAGAACTTTGGTCTGTTTCGCAAACGCTAGCGCGGACTGACCCAGTTAATCAAGTCCGTTCATTTACATGCAGTTGCCCAAAAGAAGAAGTAGATGGCGTCAACCAGAATTTCCCATGCTACAGCCCCTTTAAATACAATGTGGCACAGGGAGATTACCGTTTTGGCATATCTATAGGACTAATACCTTTGCTTCTACCCCTCCGTTTGCACCATCCCTGAATTCAATCTCAACAACGTCCAGCCACTCTGCCCAAGTCCAGTTGTAGATCTGGACCTTGTGTTTCTCTCGGTCAACCTGTGACACACAGTGGAACAAAGAGAACAAGAGGGAAAAGTGATAAATACAAAGTGCTACTAATTTGCAGGCAAACTAAAATAGAAAAGCAGACAAAGTTACTATTGAAAGAGGAATTCTTCAGACTATTTAAGAATAAATGATTCCCTATAATGCAGATACATGGTTTTTATAATATTCAATGTAGACTTTATTTCACGAATTATATACCTCAAATCTATGTTCAGCATTGTTGCAATCAGTTTTTTTTTTTTCCTTTGCATTGTTTAAGAAAAATAAAAAATGAAAAATCAGTTAAATTGTGGTGTGAAAATGTCAAATAGAAAGAAAACAAGTAAGCTCATGGAAATGTTAGGTCTGGAAGAAGAGAATTGATTAGAGATGGATGGATCAGGTGTAAGAAGGGGGAGATGATGAACCTGTGAAAAGAGCACGGGAACTGGAAGTGGATGGCATACAAGTTTACAGATAAAAGAAGACTCAAGATTTCATGGAAAGATGTGGTGATGAAAGAAAGCAGTCAGGCTGGTCTAAATGAGAAGGATGCTTTAGACAAAAAGAAGTGGAGGGAGGGATTTCTTCTTCAAATTGGCTACAATTACATTTTGTATACCGATACATTACTTTACTAAAATGAAATGTCTCTGCAAACAATATACTAGGATAGGGACAATTCAAAAGAGTTGAAAATTGCAAATTTGTACTGAAAAATAGCGATTTTGAATTTCTCAACATGATGCCAATTTAAAAATTTCCCATTTTAGAGAAGAAATGCAATAAGGTCACAAGGCAGAAATGGATGCAGAGTGTGCACAAATTTTTGCTCTCTCTATCTGTATGCAACTTATTTCAAGAACTCAGAATCAAATGCACCAAAACACAAAATGAGAACAACATTTTTTTACAGACTCCTATCTCCTTTGCTTTGGAAAGGGCACACATTACCTGCTTCACTGCATATGTAGTCTTTGGATCAGACTCTGCAACTCTATCCACCGCCTGGATTAAATCATCTACCAACTGATCTGCTGTTCCACTCAGAGATACCCATCTGAAAATATGAAGAACAACACAAATGAAGGAAAAAAATTAAAATGAATTGAAGTCTAAAGAATATCATGAAAAAAAAGGGGGAAAATGAGAATAAAATAAAGCATTCTTAATCTTCAGTAGAAGCGCTGGTCAGATAATAAGGATCGTCCACTTAAACAAGACTTTCCTCGTAACGTGGACAAATCACGTCCCAAAAAATAAGAATCCTTATTAACAATCAGCGCGTTGGCGATGCGAAAAAGGGATTCCGCGACGATGCTCCACGATGCATTTCTCATTGACACAGCACATTGTCTAGGACCCGATTTGTCCACGTTTACAAAGATATTCTTGTTTATGCGGACGATCCTCATTCTCGGACCTGCGCCCCTACTGATCTTGATAAAGAAAATCAGAAAAGTAGATTTGACTATGAAGTATGATGAATAAATCAAAGGTTCATTCTACAACAGAAAATGTTTGTCACTGTCTTTGCTAGTGTAATTGTTTTTAGAAAGGAGAATCAAATATAAAATTCTGTGGTGAAAATTCATTTGTTGAATTGTTCATTTGAGATAGGTAAAGGGGCTATTCATTGTTTCATTTTAAAAATAACATTTTTTCATTAAACAATTTTGACAATGATGCTGGCACCGTGCACCCGGCGCACGGCCCTGCATGCCGCAGCTGCATGGAAGTGCCCTCATTTAGTAATTACAAATATTTCATAAAACTAGATCTACTTCTTCGCATGTACCTGGTTTATTGCATAGATAAATTGCAAAGTGTAATAATCTAATTTAGTCAAGATTCGATCACTGCACCGACCGCGCGCCGGCCGGGCCGCGCCGCGCCGCGACCTCTCTCAAACACCGATTGCGCAATTGCGATGCACTTCGGCGTCGGCGAGCTACCGAGTAACTGTTGCCGAACATCACAATCGACACACATTTATACTGCACAGACTCCCACTTACTGCAGTAACAAACAGATTTGAATCGAAATCTACTTACTGTTCTCTGTGACTGTGAAGTCTATTAAGACCTGGAATCCATACAGCAGGTCGGAGGAATGCTTGGATCGGGCTTTGAATCGTACTCAAGAAACACGGCATTTTGTTTTTTCTCCGTTCTGATATTTGATAGATCGGCGACTGAACTGTTCGAATCTATTACTCTCAGCTTCTACTTTCATAATATCACGTGACGCAAAAATAAATCAGGTGACCGCGCCGATAAAATGCCGATGATTCAGATTTATTTCGGACAATGCCGTAAATATATACTTTTTCACAAATTTTGAGATCACTTACATATATATTTAAATTTTCTTTCTTAATCTATGGTGCGATAGGCTCTCCCAGCCACTCCCCCTCAATCTCTACTTTTACTATGATGATATGCCCCGGCCGCGTTATTTTTTTATGCGGCACAGATTGGGCTTTTTTTAAAAAGGGGTCTTGATTTACAGACTAATAGTGGTCGTGTGCGTACTACTTTTTTGTAGTAGAGGTCTGTTTTTAATAGTGTTACATGTAGACCGAATTTTCCGTCTCTTTCGTTCGTTAGCCTCTTATTGGGGTAGGGTCGGCCGGCTCTCTCTTTAGAGACGGAAGCCGTTTATACACATGTCCTTGCTAACGCCACGGCCAGTCCTGGTCGTAGCGTTTTGCCCCCAAAATCCCCCAAAATGTCATTTTACCTCGAGCATGTTATATTGTAAATTAGGCCTAGGCTATAATAAATCAGTTCCACTTACCAACTTGACTGAAATAATCAGTTTAATAGTCCCTTTTAGGAAATTATGGGTCAAAATCGGAATCCATGTTGAAAAAGATTTTCAAAATGGATTTCGATTTTGACCCATAATTTCCTAAAAAGGGACTATTAAACTGATTATTTCAGTCAAGTTGGTAAGTGGAACTGATTTATTATAGCCTAGGCCTAATTTACAATATAACATGCTCGAGGTAAAATGACATTTTGGGGGATTTTGGGGGCAAAACGCTACGACCAGGACTGGCCGTGGCGTTAGCAAGGACATGTGTATAAACGGCTTCCGTCTCTAAAGAGAGAGCCGGCCGACCCTACCCCAATGCTAACGAACGAAAGAGACGGAAAATTCGGTCTATGTTACATGTAATCCACTACCGTATGGAAAATCATTACATCAACAATTAAAATGCAATTGGAAATATGAAGAGGAGGCAGCACGTCAATAAGGAGAACATCACAATAATTAGCCAATAAAACTTAATTAACTTAAACGAAGAGGAATGTTATCTAAACACATAGTTTGCGATGGATATTCAAACTTCTTCACAGCGCTAATGCGCTAGCGAACATGACTAGTCTCACGTACGTGCAGACACTATTCAGAAGGGAAAGAACGTACTTCCCATAGGCTCAACACGCGCCATGCCCCAATCTGTGCCGCATAAAAAAATAACGCGCCCCGGCCGGCCCCTTCTCTCTCGATCTCTATAGCTCTGCCCCCCCCCCCCCCCCCCCCCCCCCCCCACCCTCCCCATATCAAAATAAAAATGATCATATAAACTGTTACATATTTTGTATTCTGCTGCCTCATACAATGTATGAGGAGATTAAATTTCAAGGTTTCAAACAGATTTTGCTATTTTTCATAGCAATACTATAAATTTATGATACATACTTTCATATACAAATTATCGTTGGGTTTGTATGCTGATCAATGCCTGCAGGGATCAATGCCAAATTAATTTTTTGATTATATTTATTTATTTATTTATTATTATTTATTTTATTTTTAATTTTTTTTTTTTGGGGGGGGGGGGGGTGCAAAAGTAAAGCACTGCCTCTGAAGTCATCTCATCTTCTCATAGCATACAGTACCCACATTAAATGAGCATACAGTGAATTTTCATCTCTATCCATCCATTCTCTTTTTGATCTCCTCATAGCAATACTATAAATTTATGATACATACTTTCATATACAAATTATCGTTGGGTTTGTATGCTGATTAATGCCTGCAGGGATCAATGCCAAATTAATTTTTTAATTTTTTTTTTTTTTTTTTTTTTTTTGGGGGGGGGGGGGGATGCAAAAGAAAAGCACTGCCTCTGAAGTCATCTCATCTTCTCATAGCATACAGTACCCACATTAAATGAGCATACAGTGATTTTTCATCTCTACCCATCCATTCTCTTTTTGATCTCCACTTTCTCCCCGTCTTTCTTTTTCATATACCCCCCCCCCCCCCCCCCCCCCCCCTCTAGCAAAGCCAGCTTTCTGACTTTCAGAGATAAAGAATTTGCACAAGGATGACACTACCTTTACAGTCCTCTCATATTCTGAAAATGCCCACACTGATTTCCACCTCTGTCTCTCTCTCTCTCGTCCTCCCTCTTATTCTTATTCTTCTCTTGAACTGCTCTCTTTCTTTCATCCTTACCAGTTTTCTTTTATAAATATCAAAGTGGAAATAGACTCCGATGAACAAAAGCAGAATGAAATAGATGGTCATTCGAAGTAAACAAATCTGATACATACAAATTTTGAATTGACATTCATGATTTATTTATCTTGACCAGCTTATCCTGCTTTACAGTTATAATAACTTGATATTAGTTTGGAGTTTATGCATTCACCCTCTTCATTTCTCAGGATATTGGTGAGTGATTCGGAAATAGAGAGCATAAAAATGTCTGAGAAGTAGTATTTTAATTTCAATCCAAAGTAAGAGTACTGGTATGTAGTGAAGAAGAGCTACAGAAGAGGGTTGTTTAAAAGTGAGGAAATGTTTTATTATATTTTTACAAAACATAACATCTATTTCTACCATAATTATAAAATATAGTAATGCCAACAAAACAAATCTTTGTTCACTGTAGTATAACAAATTGTTAAAAAAGGGCATTAGAAATACAATCCAAAGAGCACAAACATTTTGACTAATTTCTTTTTTTACATATAGCAATAAGGAAGCATCACCAAAGCCTCTGAAAAAAGAGGAAGAATGCATTACTGCAAACCAGAAACTTTTTCACACATAACAATGTTTGCAAATTTTACAAGTGGTTCTGACTCACAAAAGTTTTATGCTGCCAATAATCTTGGATTACAACTGACACAAAACCGAATTTTGCAATTTATGAAAATTTCTAGTGAAAATGGCTATCATTTACAATTTACGAAAGTTTGGTGTCATGAAAGTTTCTGGTTTTAGAGCATAATGTGATCACATCCGCCAACTTGTATGATTTGAACCAATGTCCATGACCTAGTGCCCTTTAGTAAGGCTTTAAACCTCATTACGAAGTCCCTCAGAGAAGACTTAAAGACTTGGTCGCTAACCTACAAGCATATTCGATCGTTCTTAGTGCTCAGGTAAAATAAACAAACTATCAATTTTTGTATATTATCACAGGACACACATCCAAGTGTAAACTCTTTTTGGTTTTTGCGTTCTGTGAGGTGATTTTACTTTGGAACCATCACCTCAGTAAAAAAAATTAAAAATCAGTAATGGTATTGTGTGCTCTCACAATTGGGGAGTAAATTTGTACACTAAATGCCTGTTCAGCTACTAAGTGGTAAACAATGGCATTTTTAAAATAAAAATTTGTACATGAATGGGACTATACCCAACAAAAGTCCTAACCGTATTAAATACGCTCAGTGTTTTAAACACAGAAAGGTGAAGCATATAACACTTACATGTATATCATCATAAAAAAAGAGCGCCATGGTTTAATGCATCATATTTGAACCATGCTAATATCCTTTAGCATCTTTGGAATAGTCTTTAAGAATACACCTGCCAACTACAACTTAAACTACACCTGAAGTTTGCTCGGCATTGTGAGTTTGGTGTCTGTAAATTGGTGTTTGGCTGGAATGCTACGAAAGGAGTGAAGAATGTGCATTTATTGTAGCCGGGCAAGCCTGAATCCAATAAATGGGTTAATAATATGTCTGTAAGTTGCTTAGAAACATTTTCAAGTATCAAGCACTGTACAAACCCAGCATATTATCATTATTCCAGTGCATTACGTTTAGACTGCATTACAAAACGCCTGTAAAAAAAATGCTGCATTGTTTCATAATTCATGTCAACAAGCCTTTACGGTAAACTTGTTGCTATGTAGATGATCCATCATTGTTGCTGCTGGCTTCACTCTTTTTATTGAGGTTCCTCTCGAAAAGTAGGACCAGTTCACAGTGGCTGGTATGTGGGAACAGATCGACTGGGATCGCCTTGACTAATGTAAACGGAACTCCTTTCTGCTTCTTCGACATTGATCTGCACAAACTGGAATGCGGCGAAAAGAATGAAGATAATAGAATTAGACAGTATAAAATAAGTGCATAAAAGAGAAGTGAGCTAAAGAAGGTACCAAAAAGAAGAGATAAATCAATAAACAGTATATTAAGACATACCGGTAATGAATAACAACAAAAACAAAATATTCTTTGTATGTGTCTACATGTATATAGCTTTAATAGTACAAATATATACAAATGTTGAAAAGCTTTTAAAACACCTCATGTAATATGTGATCTGCTTCGTTTTGTGAATAATGCTACCTTTTTAAATATATTTATCAGAGAAATACATCCATAATCCATGAGAAAAATGGAAAATACAAAAGTCCTTCCAAGTTAAAAAGACATGACCTTTTCAGCAAATAAGCTGTAACCCCCCCCCCCCCCCCCCTAAAAAAAAAAAAAAAAAAAAACATAAAAATTGATAAGCTTTGATTTCTCTATTCTCACTACATTCCTCTTTGTTTACAAATGTTGGCCAAGAATTTTTTTAAGACTGATTTTTTGCATTAAATCCCTGATGTTGTAGATAACACATTAGTAGCAGAAATACAGTGAAACCTGCATATACAGACCGCCCAAGGGAGACAAGAAAAGCAGTCTTTACGGGCAGGTGGTCTTTATGTACAAGTTCTTTCAATACATGTGTCTATTTCAATCACTATTCCAAGGTGAAAAAGGGGGTCTTCACACAGGGGCAGACTTCTAATACAGGTGGTCACTAAAGCAGGTTTGACTGTACTGGTAAACTTACTTCAAGAAGTTGTTGGAGGCTTGCTTTGCATCACACGATACATAAATAAGACGATTTAACTTTGGACACCTTCTCATTGCCTGGACAACCCGTTGATCTATAAAGTAGAAATAACAACATCAGGATGAGATTGAGGATAACTACCTGGAATTTATATAATGGTTTTCATTCTTTGTAATGGGGGTATCAACTTGTCAAGCCACAAAGGTTTGAACTGATACACCCTGTTTCATTTTTCAAAATGTATTGAAATGTTAATACTTTGTTTCACATAATAAGTTGATATTTATATGTACATTGTAAATGTTTATAATTTGTTTTTCGTTTTTACTGAATTTGAAATAAAAATGGATTAATCAATCAGTCAATCAATGACACATGATTGCAAATAATGACTGGTTGTCATATTCAGATTTTCCATTTTGGTTTGATTATATTTTTTAGTACTATCACATTGTGATTATCTTCACATCGTAATGATCAGTTAATTACAAAGTTAGAGCAGTGGTCTCGTAACCGGAAGGTCCCGGATTTGAAACCAAGTTGATGCGCTAGTGCCCTTTGATAAGGCATTAATCCCTTTACCAAGTCCCTCAGAGAGGACTTAAAGCCATTGGTCCCATGGTTGCTAACTTACAAACTTACATATGCTTTTTTATAATTAAAAGATTCATAAACAAATCTCAACAAACAGCCTCTTATATTTGTCAACGTTAAGTATCTATGGATTTTGTGTTTAGTTTGTTGGAATGATTTTAGCAAAATTTCAGCTAGACCTCACAATATACACTAATACTAATGTGCTACGTCATGATCAAGCTTTTGCAGTTTCTTCCACAATGCAGTCGAATGACTAGAATTATTTCTGGGCCCAGTTGCATAAAACTTACCATTGATGGTAACTTTGCCATCAATGGCAACTACCATGGTAACAGGGCTCAATAGCCAATCAAAATTAAGGTTTCCATGGTAGTTACCGTTGAAGGCGAAGTTACCATAAAAGGTAAATTTTGTGCCATGGGCCCACTTTTTATTGTGGAAGATACTTTGCCCCATAAGTGAAAATTTTAAAGACACTCACGTAATCCTGCCCTTGGTGGGTCCACGATTCCCACCACATCTAGACAGCTATGGAGCCTGTTGGTGATACCTGGGAGTAGGTCCTCTGCCTTGCCACAGTGGAATGTTACATTATCTACACCTACAAAGTTATAAGAGAGACAAGTCACAAAGGGACTGTTATAGATTTGGACCTGTAGGTCTTACAATTGACTAAAGAAAGGTCTTCAAACTTACTAAGTTAGAAACTAAGATACAAACTAGAATTTATTTGCAACTTTTTGTATACATTTTCAAGACATATTGAGACATGTTTTCAAAGTTTAAAAAACAAATTATTTTTCATCTGTGATACCAGAAGTAATACAGGACTCTATGCTAACCCTACATATTTTAATAAAGACCCTAATGTTGCAATCTTCAACTTAATTAATCTAAACACCCAAAGAAGCCTTTGTCTCAATTGATTTTTAAATATTTTGTTGTGTGCTCTATACAAGAACAAAGACACAGAGGATCAAACACGTTTTAGATATTGTAGAGGACAGCATTATATCCGAATTCTTTTATATTGTAACACATACCATTTATTGCAGCATTCTCCTTAGCATCTTCAATGGCCTGTTCATTCATTTCTACCCCAATCACTTTCTCTACTCTCTGGGAAAGAGGGATGGAAAGAAAATATAGAAAATGATTCTTTTTTTTAATTCCAATTCGAAGTAACATTCATTTTTCTTCCATTTATTTTTTCTATATCAACAAAATACTCAAGTAATGAATATAAACATACATAATGACATAAGCAATACACTTTTAAAGCAAGTAAGACGGTGTACTTTCTAAAAATCTAAGCTTGTGTCGAATACGCCTTATTATAATACACTATAAATATATATATAACAACAAAAAGTAGAAGAAAGGAAAAGAAAAGAAATATACAAAGGGAGTTGAATGAGGAAAAAGTTGAAAACGTGACGTAATGCAACAAATTCCACGATAGCTAGCACATAACTGAGCTATACATACATACTTTGCAAATGAGAATTATTCAAAAATGTCAAAATTATGCTGTCTATAATATCCTTTTTTTTTTTCTTCTTTCGTTTAATATGAGGTTTGTCCTGTTTTATATGTTTTCATACATGATTTTTGGACTTCACTTATTTAATATAAAAAAAACCACAGCAGCCCATCTGAATGAAACATTACAAAGGCTACACCTCTAGAACAACAGTAGGATTATTAAAACCAAACAAAATCAGGTGAAGAATTAACAAGGAGGTAACAGAAAAAAATTAAAGAAAAACGTATATACAAAATTTCTTAATTTCAGATGTAATCGATTGTGTTTAGATGTGTCTATACAATACCTTAGCAAGAGAAATTCCAATTGTTCCTGTGCCACAGCAGATATCTAGAAGTGTTGTAATTTTAGTGACTTGAGCCCAGTCACCTATTGTTGTGTACAGTAGTTCAGCTGCTGGCGTGTTTACTGTGTCACAAAATGGATCAAATAATATGACTCTTTGTAACAAATTCATTTCATTTATTTATTTCACTCTCTTTTTAACAAACATCAACAGTATATACATGTTTGTTCATTATCAACTTAAGATAAAAGGAAGTGGGGATTCATGAAAGCCAAAATTGGCTTGATGAGAATGATCCCCAAATAAATACTTAGCATTAGCAAGTTACAAACTTATTTTATATAAAAAACATCATACATACATTCACAACAACAGAGGACAAAGGAAAGATAAAGATAAGATGAGGTAAAAACAGTTACAGGAAGATAAGATGAGGTAAAAACAGTTACAGGAAGATAAGACGAGAAAGAAGGTAATAAGAAGGAAGTTAGAACTACATATCAGTTAAAGATACATTTCATGGTTACATAATCTAAATTCCATCATCATATATTGAACCTCTTCTCATCGATCTTTGAAAGGTAAACCCACTGAGACTGAGAGATCCAGGATTGTCAGGGGGGGGGGGGGGGGGGGGGGGGGAGAATTCTCCAAAAGAACATAATTACAGGTAACCTCACTGGCCAGACATGATTTTTTTCTCTCTTTCCCTTTTTCTTCTCAAAGGCAACTGGGGTGGGGTGGTCAGTTTGCCACCCCCCCCCCCCATCCATCCATCTATGGCTTAGGCATTTCACATTGTGTTCATCTCACCTTGGAAGAAAGCTTCGGGCGAGATTCTGAACTTCAGTTGCAGTAGTTCCTCAGTGATATACCGTTCTCCATAGATATGATCAAACTTGATGGCATTCTTATCACCTTGCCTGTGCGATGCAATACACAAATAAAATCAAAATCATTAGAAAAGAACTTTCTCAACCACCTAAAATCATTATCTGTTTACAGTTGAAATGTATACAATTAGCCTTATAACAAAACTTTAACTTTCAATAGGACAATGATTATTAAAGGAGCATGTATGAAGAAAATATAGGATAACATAAAATGGAAATAAAATCAGATTCATCAGTAAAGAACTTTGTTAACCACCTAAAAAGATTATCTGTTTACAGTTAAAATGTATACAATTATCCTTATAATAAAATCTGTACCTTGCAATAGGATAATACTAAATAGTCAAGGAGTATGAGGAAGAATAAAGGATAACAAAAAAACGGAACCCGAGTTCGATGCAAGGAAGTGATGTCGGACTTGGGTACTTCAGGGACCAAGCCATACAAATGCATCGACTGGTCTACTCGCATGTCCCACTTATGTAAATTGAGAGTGTACATAACCTTGCAATATTTTTTTACAGAAGTAATATTTGAAGCTCATATTTGCATTTTAGTATAGTGACATGGAACTCCTAACAAACAGAGCAAAATGTTTACAGGTGATAGGTGCAATTTAATCATGTGACATCGGTGCTGAACTAAGTAATTCAATCACTCATAAATTATGGTATATTTTGTGTGCAGTAAGTAGTTTGGTTTTACTTACCACTGAACATGAACAAACAGAGACGTCACACCACAAGACTTTCCTTCCCCTTCTCCAAAGTAATCAGCAAGCTCCTGCTTTTCTTTCTCAACATCCTCCTTCAAGAATAAAAAGGTTTTTGAAATAACTACTGAAAATATGGCTCAACTACTGAATTACCTCAACAAATTATCTTTTTAAATGTAACAATCAAAGCAATGTGTCAGATAACGAACAGCTTCATAAACTACAGATACATGTAGAACAGTACAGAAACTGTATTGTTTTCAAAATTATCTTTTCATCAAACCTTATTGAATTAATAGCAAAACATTTTCCTTTTGAAATACATAAATGGTAATGGAACAGATTTCTTCTTTCTGACAGAAGAATAAACAAATCCTATTTTTTAGTGTTTATAAGTTGATTTATCAAAATTAGTCATCAGATCAAATTTACCAAAATAACAACCTCTCACTCAAGACAATACTAGGTCCGATGAATAGAAATCTTTTATTTTAAATTATAAATTCTGTAACTTTTTACCTTGGACAGAGACTGGCGATGGAAGGTCACCATGGCCATGATCCCTGACCCTTGGGTCGTTCTGACCGTCAGCATCTTCCAGTGACCTCCGTGGGTCATGGGGTCATACGCAGGAAGACTGGACTGTCTAATGTAGGTCTGGAAGGACTGGACGACAGCCTTGGAATTTTCCGGTACGTTGAGGCAGGCGGCTGGATTCACCACCGATATCTGACCGCCTGGAAGAAAGAAAAATATATGAGATAGGAAAAATAGCAATTAAAACATGAAAGATAAATGTTGAATAAACTATTTTTATTCGATACAGAAATAATGAAAGGTGGTCACTCAGGTAGCTAAGAGAAAATATAGTTGCACAAAGAGAAGAGTCTGGAATACATATGGACCAACAGTGAATAAAAAGTTGTAAGATGGCATACCAAAATGATGTTTTTGGGGTTATATGTCTAATCAAGGTACAGACAAACCTGCTTTAGCGACCACCTGTATAGAAAGATCACCTGTCTACAGAGACCACATTTTGTGCTTCCCTTGAAAATATTTTTTCATTGAAACACACACTAAAAGAACCTGTACTTAAAGGACACCTGTCTATAAAGACCACTTTTCTTGTCTACCTTGGGTGGTCTTTATACACAGGTTTTACTGTAGTAGAGATATTTACCAGTCCTGTGTCCTATGAATATGGTACCATCACAATACCATAAAACTATCATTTTCAACAAACATACCTTTAGCATTCCAGACAAGTCTTTATGTGACACTATATTTCGCTATTATACACATACATGTATTGAACATAAACTGGAGGTGCATAAACTAAGGACAATATTTGGTGATCCAAACATATCCTGGGTTTTAGGTGAGGTTTAGGGTAAAGGTAAGATATAGTGCTGGGGTCTGGGATTCATCTGGTGTACAAGTTTGGCCATGGACGCGTTTCTCACCGCAGCATGTGATCTTAAATCTAATATTCATCCTACTGTTCTCATGTCGAAAGAGATCTCTGATTTTTCAAAAGACTATTTCAATATTAATCTGAATCTGCATTTGGAAAGATCGTAACCAATGTACTACAAAACAACATTATTTGAGTTTCATTTTATGAAGAGGTGTTGTTCAAGAGTGAAATAAAACTTACCTCTGTATAAACCGAGACGGAATCCAACAGTCTTTTCTGCAGAGATATAATGTATGAAATTACAGAAAAATATAGGGTGAGCATGACAGCTTAGGCACTATTATTAATACCTGTATCTATCAAGTATGTAATGGTGTATCTCTTTCATGTCAGTAAAAACATTGACCAAATTTGGGGCTATATTATTAAATGTTATTTTCATGCATCTTATACATGTGCATCACTACTTTCTTTGAAAAGATGATTACTGGTATTGACGTACCTGGCTTGAATCTTGATACGATTTGACCGATGTACATTTCTCATTTTTATTCAACTATTTTTTGTATTATCTCTTAAGTCAAACTTCAATACTATGACAAATTTGTTTATAATATTATCTAATTTAAAAAATGGCATGTCTTACTTATGGATTTGCTTCCCCCCCCCCCCCCCAGAAAAAAAAAAAATTCATCATTAAGTTTCTGCTAATTGAATATGACATAGAGTATCAACATAATTACCTTCTCCTTCAGGATTCTTCCCTATTGAAAATTCACACTTGTTCCGATAACCTGTCACTACAGGCTGAAAAATACAACCATTCAAAAGGGAAGTTGGAAACAAGGAAAAATTATTTGAAGCGTTTTATATCATCTCTCTGTTTTAAGGAAGCAACCATAATGTTATGTCCACCTCACACTTCATATAACATTATACATGTTCTACATATAACTCCAGAGTCTGTTGCGGCCCCAGCAATCAAGTACGACTATGCTCTACAAAGAGGACTGTACTCAATGGAAGAAGAAGAAATGAAACATTAATGTGCATTCAAATATGTTGAGAAGTTTAAAACCAAATCGCAAATTAAAATTACTTACCGATGGTTTGACGTCTTCTAGAGGGCAACACAAGCCACCATGTTTCTCTCTATGAAAGGCAACAATAGAATAATGGGATCAAAATCAGGGAGTGGAAATGGTAAATATTTTGTGTGTGACTGAATCCAATGATCAGGGTATTTCATATTTCATAGGCACTAAATTTATTTATTGTTGTCATTCAGATATGACACGATAAGCTGTAACATTTTTCTTTTTCATCGTAGTATAATACAATACACATTTCTGTATCTTATAACACAGAGTTAAGCGAAATTGCATGGGATTTTTTTTTTAAGCGCATAGATGCCACTTCATATCTGAATGTGCCTTTAATATGAAAGACCATCTCACCTTTGTTCACTGATGTGACTACGAATTGCTGGGATATCATTGACAAACGAGATGGCAAGTTTCCTTAACAAATCTTCTTTGATTTGCTGCTTCTCCTTGAGCTGCTGCTGGTAGTCTTGTTTCCAGAGAGGAGTGACTGCATTGTTTAATCTGAAAGCATCATACATGTAGAATACATTATTTACTTATTTATAGATTTCAGCAAGACCATCGAAAAAAGCCAAAGTGTTAACAGCGGCCTAGAGCATCAAGACTACCAAAATTAAACTCTGTACTCCCCAAGAAAATAAGTATCTGTGTAACCCATAATGTAATTCATGTACGATATGCCTGGAAACTAATTGCGTAAAGTAAATAACATACCCGGTATGCAAATTATGCACAAAATAAAACTGTGAGATAACCCAACATCATGAACACCACTCCTTTCAAAACTGCAAGCCAAATTATTCTGTACCTTAACCATCCAATCCTATGCCTAAGATAAGTCCAGACAAAGTATATGCTAGAAATGCTATTTGATCGAAATTTAAACCGCTGACTACGGAATGTTAATGCACCCAATAGGTTTAATACAAGGGGCGCCCGGTTCCAGTAGGCAAAGGGGTAATTGCCTTCATTGGACAAAACATGATCACCACTCCCATTGCACATACCTCTCTTCTATGGGGAGATCCTCATCAGTGTTCTGATCATCTCGAGCCCTTTTCCCTCCACCTCCTTGACTCTCTTGTTTGCGTTTGAGAGCCACCATAGGATCCTCATTCGGTCTCGCAAGCTGAGAGCAAAAATGACAGCATGATTTTAGTTCAGTACCTCTTTATCTATCTAGTTATTTATAATTATCTGTTAGTTTTATTTAAACAGGGTAACTCTATTGGTATTAAAACCGATTTACTGAGATTTACTGAGTTTAAATCGTCTTTCAATAATCAACTTTATACTGGCTCATTCTGCCACCTTCTTGTGGTGACTCTGTTACGTGCCTGGCACAACTAAACTTTAAAATCAGTATTCTTGTAGCCATTTCAGATTCCAACCACATCAACAAAATATATGATATTTCTAGATTTGGTGGCTGAATTTACACAACCACAACAGGGCAAATCATTGACGGTCTAGAAACTACAAAATAATTGAATGGTTTAGCACATGAAAGATTGGGAACCCTCTCACCCTCTAGCATGCAAAAAATCCTGAAAAAATTCTCAAACCACAAAGATATTTATGGTTTTCTTTGAAGGTGCACTGGTCAACACCCTCTAACAGTAAATTCTTCCAACCATTTTTGAATTTTCCCAATTGTTTTTCTATGAAAATAAGACAAAAGACAGGCTTTTAAAAATCTATCAACACTTAAATGTCTGGGATGGTACATGTATATAGAGCCAATGCATAACATTGTGACAATTTTACATTCACCTAAAATGTAATTAAATTATAATAATATAGTTGGGAGAATTAAAGAATCAATTTTTCCCAATCTTTATCATTAATAATGGTCCGTTTTCACTCAAACTTTCAGATTATCTTTAATTGTACATCTAGCATTAAAGTCACTACAATGTACCTTAAGCTACATTTCTTCTCATCTGAACAATGTTACTAAGTCCCTTTAATAGGGAATCGATACACTTGAAGTTCAGCCTCAAACAACGCGAAATTACCTTTGTTGACAATTTTCTTCCTTTCCATGTGTGCTGGTTCAGAACCTCCATTGCTTTTTGTCTGTCCTCTTCACATCTATAAGATCAAGTGAATTTCAGTTAAATTGTATAAAAAAAAGATATCTCAAAAGTCCAAAGACTCACATTGTCATATTTATAGTAAAATACAAGAAAAAACATGAAACAAGCTTATAAATACATTTGTCCAGTGACAACATAATCGCAACATAATAACATTAGACATTCAAAAAAAGTTGAGTAGCAATTATTACATTAAATTAAATTGGAAACATTTTTACAAGAATTTTGGTACAGTGGATGCTGGTAGTAAATTGTATGTTGCAGTTCACATACTGTAGACATAAATGCGTTAAAATGAAACAAGTGACTATAGTCCATTTGCAACAATGGTCTAAAAAAGTAGTAAAAATAATCTGTTCTTGTATGGCACATGTCCCATTATGAAATAGTGTTTCTATGCTTTTCCAAATGTAATATATACACCCCAGCTTTAGCTTCGGCAACTGTAGCGCTTAATGCATTCAAGGAATAGATCCTACCATTACCCCCTCCCTACACCTGGGTCAAGTGTGGCAAATGTAGATTAATTTCTTGCCAAAGAAAGGTAGAGCTATGACAGAGGGAACCAAACCGTACACCTTGTGATCCACAGTCCAGTGTCTAATCCATCAGGCCCACAACACCTTTACTCATGGAAAGTGTTGGACAAAGGCATGACTATCGAGTTTTTTGGTTCCATAAATGAGGTCACTGTACAACCTGCAACCTATACTCACGAAAAAGTAATAAACGCATAGTCCTTTTGATTCAAGGATTTAATCTTCTTTGGCTTCAGGTTAAGGCCACTCAGCATCTTCCGTAGTTGCTGTTGTTTAATAAAACAAAACAAAATGAAGAAGATTAAAGTACAGTACATCCAATTCGATTATAAACAGAAATTCATGACACTCCTTGTCATTACTCGCCTCACCTACCATCCCAGTAAAGCTTCCTCAGTGAGCTGCCAAAGAGATTACCCAACCAAGATGCAAAATATGTGATTGCATATGACTTAACACATTGCCTACTGGATCAGGGTTGTTCCTCTATAAAGCTTATGGGAATAGGAGAATTCAGTAGTCAACGGGTTACAATTTGACAGCTCATTTAAGTTATGCTAGTTATTTATTTTTACATAAGCTACATGTATCCCTGTCTCTAAATGTTTTCTGAAATTTCTTGAACAGGATCACTAGTAAGTACTTTGGTAATCTAAATTCAGAGTGATGAACGTTATAAGCCTAGAGTTTCTTAAGTTGGGCTTCCCAAGTTCCCACACAATAGATAATGGCAATTTACATAGTGAATAGAAAAATGTAGGTATTGTAATGCATATAAGTGTGTTCATATTCCCACCTGAAAACTAAATTGTGCTGGAAGGTACATCAAAATTATTTGAATATCTTGGTTATGAACTCAGTAGAAGACAGATTCATCTCTATAAATGTTGTCATCAGAGTTCACATTCCTACATGTACCTAAAACCCACATTTTGTTGGTAGACCTCAGCATAATTTTGAATACCTCAGAACTCAGATGAACTCAACAGTGAATAGATTAACTCAGGCATTTTGAGATATGGATATGTTAATATTCATAGCTGAGACCCAGTGGATTCCTCAGCATGATTTTGAATATCTCAGATGTAAACTCAATTGCAAATGGGAATGAATGCAAGCCCCCTAAAGTAGATGTGTTCACACTCCTACCTGAAACCCAAATCTTGTTGGCAGATTCCTCAGCATGATTTTGAATATTTCTGATGTGAATTCAGCATCACGAGGCTCACGTCCCGGATGTTCATTGTTGCGATCCTCCCCCTCCTCCAGCTGATCATCACCGTCAACCTGCTTTGCACCTTTGTCATCAGTACCTTGCCTCTCCTCAATCTTGTCATCAGTATCTTTACTCTCTTCCATCTTCTCATCAGCATTGCCTTCTGGGTCGTCATGGGAACTTGAATCGGCAGTCATTCCCTCCTCTCCAGTCGAAGTTGATGGAAGGGCTGGGTCCTCTTCTTTGGAGTTTGGGATCTTGGCTGTTTCCTCCTTTCCTTCATTGCCATCCGATTCTTTGCTGCATTGGTCGCCTGCAGAATTTACATCTGGAACAGTTTTTTCTCTCTGCTCTCCAAGACTCTCAGATGATGTTGCATCATCCTTCGGTGGATCCACTTGTTCCATGGCAGCAAACAATCTAGATTATAAACATAAATAGCTATATTTGTGAAACAGGAAACCATTATATTCATTAGTGTGCACAGACACAGTGTGCATGCAAAGTCAGAGAAAAGGAGGGGGGTGAGGAAAAGGCACCATTTATGTTTGATGAAATAAAGTGTTAGTGCGTGATGTCAATGGCCTTTTCCTACATGTACTTCATAATCGTTTGTTTGTGTGTTTGCCAACTTGTCAAGATCAGTCGTTTGGGAATGGAAATCAACTGTGCTATCAAGCTCTTTCAAGCCTATAATCAGTAGGGGCGCTGGTCTGAGAACGAGGATCGTCCTCTTAAACGCAAACAAAATGCGTCCTCAAAAATAAGGACCGTCTGCATTTTCGAGGACGTTTTTTTTTAATTTGCACTCTGGGGGTTTCAGGTTACCGAACGGCATGCTGGCGATGCAAAAAATGGATTCCCTGTGGTAATATAACCCTAGTTCACCGTCTACTTTTATGGGTTGTCCGTCTTCCCAAGGATTTATTGCTCATAAATGTGAAAGTCTCTGTACAAAGTCAATGTAAAATACTTCAAGAAAATCATAGTGGATCGTGGAATCCTTTTTTTGCATCGCCAATGCGGCGATCAAAATTATGAAACGTCTGCGAAAATGCAGACGATCCTCATTTTTGATGACGCAGCGGTCTGCGTTTACAAAGACGATCCTCGTTTATGAAGACGATCCTTATTCTTGGACCAGCAGCGCCCCTAATGATAATTTATAAAAGCCTGGTGGTAGATGTTGCAAGGGGAGTCTAAATGCTTTAAATTTTTAAATTGTTAATTCAATTGTCACTCCACACCACTAAGTTAAGGATTAGCTTACCGGTACTTTTCTTGGGGCATAAAATATTATAGGATGTCACTGTGAATATTCATTACAATTTACAGTCATGAAGCCAGGCAACTTCAAGTTTTGGGGTTTTGTGCATAAATATTCATAAATGAATGATACACGCCAATAACAACTACAAAAACAACAACAACGGTTAATGTCTTTTGGTCCCTAGACGTAAATAATCATATCCGATTGACACACTTCTTTAAAAGCCACACACACACACAGACACACACCGACACAGGTTTTTTAACAGCACGAAAATACACATGTCGGACTAAATTTTCAATCCCCAGCATGCACGGTTTTGTGACGCGAACGAGAGAGACCAACGCTTACAAGTCATTATCTAAATGATTAGGTGTTTAGTTCATTACTGTATTTTATTTAGGGATGTTGTTTGCATGTCTACTCACCTAGAAGATGACTGGAATCATAGAAGTGAATCTTAAACTGGAATTGAACTTCAGGATCTTCGAACACAGGTTTTGACTTTACAACTGCTTAGTCTCTTCTTCAGTCGGTCAAATTAATTTAGTTTGAATTTTAAATGATATAGATCTAGGCCTAGTCGATCGAGGTCCATTGCACAAAAATGTCAATAAATATCGAGCTTGTTCCTGTTAGTTTTTTTTCTTCCTGAAGGGGTATCGACTACCCTAGGGCACAGCACATATAAAAGGGGGCAAACGTGTACCTAAGGCGGAGGCGGCCCTCCCGGGGGCAGGGGAAGGGGGGGGGATGGGCAAAGTGCCCCCCCCCTTTTTAAGCACCCAAAAAGTGCCCCTCTTTACATAGGAAAAGGGCCACTTTTTACATAAGAATAGTGCCCCTTTTACTTTGACAAGTGCCCCTATCAATTTGTAAAAGTGCCCCTTCCCCTTTTCAACTCTGATAAGTGCCCGTTTTATTTGGAAACGTGACCCTTTTACTTCGACAAGTTCCCATTTTCCTTTGCAATAAGTGTCCTTTTTCCATTCTCACAAGTGCCCTTTTTTTATGTCTATAGGGGTTTATACTAGTGTCTAAAGTTATATTTATGTATATTTCCCTTTGTAGGTGCCCTTTTTCTTAGTGCAACCCCCCCCCCCCCCCCCCATAGGGTGCTCCTTCCCCTTTTCAACTCTGATAAGTGCCCGTTTTATTTGGAAACGTGACCCTTTTACTTCGACAAGTTCCCATTTTCCTTTGCAATAAGTGTCCTTTTTCCATTCTCACAAGTGCCCTTTTTTTTTTTTTTATGTCTATAGGGGTTTATACTAGTGTCTAAAGTTATATTTATGTATATTTCCCTTTGTAGGTGCCCTTTTTCTTAGTGCAACCCCCCCCCCCCCCCATAGGGTGCTCCTTCCCCTTTTCAACTCTGATAAGTGCCCGTTTTATGTGGAAACGTGACCCTTTTACTTCGACAAGTTCCCATTTTCCTTTGCAATAAGTGTCCTTTTTCCATTCTCATACGTGCTCTTTTTGATGTCTATAGGGGTTTATACAAGTGTCTAAAGTTATATGTATGTATATTTCCCTTAGAAGGTGCCCTTTTTCTTAGTGCAACCCCCCCCCCCCCCCCCCCACTTTGGAAGTCGTTCGACCGCCCCTGACCTGAGAACAGGATCTGGCCTTATTCCCTCACAGAAAATATATTTTTCTTATAGCATTTTTATAGCGGGATATGGGAATTCCATTAGAAAAGGATAACGTTCATAAACGCCCTTTCACCCTCTCTCCCCGTTTTTGATTGTTGTTGCCAGCAAAACCGACTCACCAAACATGTTGTTTGTGTTATCTGTCGGTTTTAGGCACAGCAAACAAAAGCGTCGCTTTATTTTTTTAGACATTTTCAAACAGACACAATACAACTAAAATCTTCAGATTTTCTAAATTGACAGAATACATTATTTTAATTGTTTAAATATATACAGGGCCCGCGGGGAAGTGGGGCTCGGGGGGTTCGAGCCCCATCACCCCCCCCCCCCCCCCGCTCCACACACCAGGGGCGGATTCAGGGGGCCCGGGCCCCCTCCCCTGACAACAAAAATTCGGCCCCTTTTTTTTTCTTACCCCAAAAGGGGGTTGGTGGATGTTGAATAAAAAAATAGAGCTCCATACACCCCTCCCCCTTGAGCAAAAAATAAATTAAAAATTACACTCACTACCCCCCCCCCTTAACGCTGTCACCGGTGTGCCCTTAACTGCCCCCCCCCCCCGACAGCATTTTTAGTCCCCAAGAGAGGCACCTATTAAACATTGCGATGATAATACGTTCCGAATCAATTACCATGATTACTGAAAAAAGACTAAATAATGCGCTTTTATTTATTTATCAATTTTTTTTTTTCTTCAGAATAAAACAAAATAAAGGATTCATAAAAAAGATCCTTGATAATAAGAATTCATTATAATTGCAGCAGTTTCATAATTCATTGCTCTGGATTCTTGGACAGGGGACTATGCCAATATTGGCGTGATTAAATTATCCTTGCTGCAATGGAGAGAAGGATGCATATTTAATCTTTGAAACAACATGACCATTTGAAGGAGCTAGCATATCAGTGGATCAATCAATTATGGAGTGAAAAAGCAAACAACAAACAAAAATTGAACAAATGTTCAATCACCTATTTATGGATCGACCAGCCCATCAATCAATCAATCCATCAATCATTCATTCAATCAATCAATCAATTTACCAACTAAGCAACCAATCAACCAATTAATAAAAAATAAATAAAAATCGATCAACCATAACAGTCAATAAAAATTGATAGTACTAATGATATTTGCAGGTCTTTTTTCTTCAGGATTCGAAAAGCTCAATACTATCATTACTCATTATGTGGCTCTCAATCAGAACAACCAATCAACCATTCAACCAATCACCAGTTGCGAAGAAAGAAAACCAAATTCACAATAGGAATATTTACAGAGTCATGACCACTTAAAGCGTGATATCTTTTTAATAATTTCATCTTGTATATCTCTCTTAACCGAAGCAGAACAGCAATGGATAAGACAATAGCATTACAATACCAACGCAATAATCAATAACGAAAATAAATAACTTTGAGATTAGCATTCAGTGTAAAAATATGTTTATATAATGATGACTTCATGAGTTGCTTAAAAAATGCATCAGGAATTCTATTTAAAGCATAAATATATTTTGTTGACACGCTGTTACCATAAATTATCCTCAATGAGATCACAAAGACTTTCGAATAAAAATCAATTCATTCAACAGCTTTATTCATAACCTTTCGTGCGAGAATACGTATTACGCAATTCAAACATTATATCTATGGGTAACACAGCAGGAAATTGCTGTTGCGTTGTTTTCTCGATAGTCTTTGTGATTATGTTCAAAAGATACCCTTTTCAAGTCATAGAAAATAATTTCAAGCAAGAGGAAAGCAGAATAACATAAAATGTACTTTACACACATTTATACAAACCATCTTATGCAATATGTCAACCCATCGGACCCATTTATACTTTTTTCGATAGATTTTGTTTTCAAGTTGATTGAGATAATAACAGATAGAGAGATGAACAGAGAGAGCGAGAGAGATGAATAGAGAGAGAGAGAGAGAGAGAGAGTGAGCGAGAGAGATATGGAGTTGATATTGTGATCAGGTTGGTTTGTTCATAAGTCAATGGATAGAACTATCACTATACAGTCATGTACAATGCACATATACAATTTGAAAACAACATACCTTTGATTAAAATCAATAAATTACACACTTTGCAATTTTTGTATCCGGGGTTTACTTAACATTAGACCATTTTCGCATTTTATAGACACATCACTATATACACAAATATGTCGGCAAAAATATCTTCCTGACTATAAGATTTGACAGCATTAACCTTTTTAGTACATGGAAGTTCATGTTCTTCTGAATCGTATTTTGGTCTCGTCATTTTCGTTTGGTCTCGCTGTTAAATACTGGTCCAAGAAAACATGGGGGAAAAATGACAAGACTTCAATCTGAAAACATTGACACGATACCATTTGTACACATGACATAATCATCATTACGACAATAATAGTCTTCATCAGCAAAAATATGATTGAATACTGGGTATTTAAGTCTTTTTCATGGATATTCAATATCTTCGGCTTTACATAAGAAAATATTAATCCTTTCAAATTTCACTATGCCTGGTTAAAATGACAGTGAACACTTCTTAATGCAATATTTTGCAAGAGAACAACTTATTTTTTTAAGCTTAAAAAACATGAATCATATTAACATTTGTGGAAAAGCGATGACATGTCATTGAAAACAAAATTGCACGAATGTTTCATTCTGTACAATGCAAAAGAATCAAATTTAAAAAAATTATTCTCGCTATGAATTTTAATCTAGAAACAAAACAAAAAAGAAACAATTATTGACCTGTCAAAACTGTTCAAAACTAATCAATTCTAAAATCTAACAATCAATCTCGCGCCGAGTTCCCTTTGAAATGTCGTTGAAGCTCTTTTCCAGAAAGAGTTTGTACCGCACTTCTTCGGACAAAAGAAAAAAGAAGGAAAAGATTTTGCACTGCTAAAATATTTACAATTTCAAGTTCACCTTTTTCATGACTTTATATCAATAACAAAAAACAAAAAAAGGGAAAGAAATGCGTCATCATTCATGGATCATTGATTGAAATAATAATCCGCTCCTGAGATACCCTCTTGAAATCTGCACAAAAATTATTGTATTGCGTTATTTCTGTTCGCTTTAGAGAAAAGCACAAAATTAACGCTTCACACATTTCCCCCAACATTGTAGTGTAGAGTATCAACAGACAAAACACCGCCGATACACTTAATGCTAGGAATTACATGTATAACAATTACGTTTGCTGTGGAAAATTAAAGGCATGTCAGTGTTCTTAGGCAAGAAATGAACTACATATAAAGGATAATCTATCAAACTAAATGGCTATCCTGAAAGTTATCTTTGAATTTGGGTGTGCAAAATGTTCTAAGAATATACGCGTACAGAGCAAAGGCACCACAAATTAAAATCAATTCAAAAATATAAAAGGCAAGTCTTGTCGAATATAACATTACGAACACATACATATACATTAATATGTTTCTGATACAAATTTTCAAAATATGCATTCATTTAACTGTTCTATCACTGCTAAAACACTTGACAATGAGTAATGCGAGTCCTTTTGGGAAGGGGCAGACTGTTAAATTTCGGAACTAATAAAGTTCAGTACATTTTAATATGTGGTATGATATTAAAACCTGAATGATTTGCAGCTCAGGAACTCCACGCAGTATCAATAGATTTTGTAGATTTGATTATCATTTCGATAAGTTCCGAAAAGTATGTATGTCGCTACTTCAATTTGGACGATTGGCAGTGCATTTTGTGCGACGATAACAAATTTAATATTATTAACTGATGTTCTCTTTTCGACTTTGAAGTAAGATAAATTAATTTATTGTTAAAATCACTAATTTTCTTTGAAGGCAAATAGTCGCTACTCGGGGTTTATCAAGACACGTTATGTTGCCTTTTCTAGCCTTCTGGCGGATGAAAACGATATAATTATAGTGAGAATTCATATTTCTTTTAATTCTACTTGTCTGAGTAGAATTCAGTCTCATCAAGGTTTCATATAGATAAAATATATCTTATTTACATATTCGCTTCTCATAATATTTGGCGTTTCCATCCATATACACCATGCGCAACTATATATATAAATCATACCATCACCTTACTTAGAGATTTATGTACAAAAATCTATGTCATTTTGGTATTTTCTTTCGAAAACTACAACAAAACAACAGTGTTTCTTTTCAAGAATCTGATTTCCTCTTTAAATGTTCGTTATGTGTTGCATAACATGACTAACAAACGATGTTACACATAGATAGACATGGTCATACGAATGTATAATGTCAAGAATTCATGTACGTGTGCTAGTTGTTCTAATAACTAGAAACAGATTAAGAACTACGTTCACCGTTCAACAGTGCTATAATGTCATCAAGACATTGACCATGCACTCTAATGCTGTTATCTAGATGCTAAAATTCAATCTGCCCAGCAGAGGATGAATGCTAAAAAGCTACACTAGTATAGACTGAGCGAGACTTTATCACTACAGATGTAAAATATGATAAACCTGTGCAATCATGGCCACAGTAAGAAGTAATAGATACAAAACACATTAAATACGAAGAACTTGTCATGTGCGAATCGTCTGCGCCAGGCCGAGGATTTCCACATGATGTCTTCATAGTATAGTAATATCTGTTGCGATTCTATTCTACCACACACTGCCCACTATAGATGCGTTTAAGGCCAAGCAAAGCAAACCGTCACACATGACACAAATATAAATGAATGGGACCATCGTTCAACAAGTGAGACCCAAAAGACAAGTCATAAAGAACATACACTGAAGTGTCCTAACGACAGCTCACATGCACGTGCAAAAACAACATCGCACACAAAGAAGTCAATCTTCACAGCCACTTTGAAAACACAACAATTGTCCGTCGATATGTTTTTTAAAAGTGTTTTGCTTTGTTATCAGCAGTCATAGTTGAGGATCTCCTGCAGCAAAGCCGGGATCTCCATGTAAGGCCATGCGTGTCTGAACTCGGACGTGCTCTTGAAGAAGATGGCGGACACTGCCCGTAGGTTGGTGGCCTGCATCAGGAGCCTTGCGAAGAGCTGCTTGTTTTTCCAGTCCCTCCGCGTCACTTCTCTCTTGAGGCATTCCAGATAACGATCCTGCAGGACTTCTACCTTGCCGGGTTCCACAAGTCCATGGCGATCTACAAACACAAAATAAAAAGAAGGAAACAGTATGGTTAATTTACTGATTGACTGCTGGTATTCATAGTTATTGGGGATTAGGCCTACGTTAAAGAGAAACAAAGTTAGTGCAAAGTTCGCGTATTGTGTCCTATTTTTAAACTACACTCTCAATCAATTTCTGTTCAAATAAATCCGAGAATTATAAAGTGCCTTACCAGGAGGAGGCCATATAATTATATTCTGTTTTCTTGTCATAACGACAATTCATCATTACATTTAATACTTTATAAAAGCCTTGCCTATATGTACATAACGTCTATTTTTAATCACGCAAATAAGTCATTTCATTTATTACAAATAAAAGTGGATTTCACAAGGTTGGATGACATTAGTTTCAGTCAGAATGTAAAGATGTCCTTAGATTGCTGATCAAGGCTGGCCTGAAGTAATAAGCTAGAATCTGATTAGTAATTGTCGTACTAGGAGCCTTATTGTTTCGCTTTAAGAGAATCCACTGAACTAAAAAAGGTTCCCTTTTTTGGTATGTCTATTGTATGCAGTGACTCATTCCCGGTAGGATCATCCACTTATTTCATTTACTATTCACACCTGAAATTACGTCAATTAAAACATGTATCTCCCGCCTGATTATTCTCATCATCTTCTTGAGTACGTGCAGATAATTCAAACCTAAATTTAGCTATCTTCAACGCCCACTTTTTTCTTTAATGAATAATCAATCGAGTAAACATGTTCTTCACCTGCACAGCGCCACTAATTTTCCATAAAATTTTCCGCTCTACCAAATCCCTCGGATTGAATTGAATGGGATTGGAAAACTCGTAGCAAAATAACCATGTAATAACCAGGATATGAACAGTAAATTGATATAACTAAAGTAACAGGAGAGATGAAACACAGGGATAGTTTTAGTACAACCTTCAGAAAGTCCATCCTATTTCTTTGATATTTTAGTTGGTAAATAATCACAAAACAGTTCTAAGCTGCTATGGAATATATATTCCGCAAGTTGAAACGAATGAGAGGGGAAGAATATTGTAGATCCTAATTTAAAAAAAATAGTTTTCATATGTGCCACCAGAAAGACAAACAGACAGGTGTTTGTACACGAAACTTGTGAATTATATCTGCGAAATTAAACAGCAAGAAGATTTGGCGGAGACAGATCTAACCGATAGCCTCGATTTATCAACCCATTCAGATATTTACACTTAAATTCACCGGAAGTCGTGAGCGAAACATTTTATGCCTTGTACATAATACATTTTGATGGTGCACACAGTGTATTTTTTGTTATAAGGACGATAATATGGCAGAAAATGCGTTTGAATCTGAATTTGAAACTAGAAGTGATCATTTACCTGGACTGAAAAGAACAACCGTGGTGAAGAGAGCAATTTCTTCCTTGATCAGTTGGAGGTTGTTGAAGCTCCTGGAGAAGTCAAAGAGCTCGTCCCAGAACCTGTAGTCACAGCCAAGCATGCTAAGGTGAGACATGGCGTACCCGTGATCCGTTCCGAAGGACACCGAGTCCGACGTGAAGGCGATCTCCATGCACGTTCGCAGCAGCCAGATCTCAAAGAAGCCAGCTTTGAGAAGAGTCATCTGATCCTCCTATAGAAATAAGTGGTAGGGTGATTGTGGAGTTAGAAACTATGTGGTTTAGTGCATAACTTGTCAGAACTTGGGGACCATAAGTTTCGGGCTTCAAATATCCATCCTTCAATCGTTATTATGGTGAAATGCCGACTTATCAAGGGAGATTTCTATGAATGCCTTAATCAGCGACCCCATTATGTTAATTTTAAGTATTAAACCGAGTACTCAAACATTCTCCCGATGTGTAACAAAGCTTGCATTATTCTCCTACAAAACCGCAGATATTTTCAACTTTATTTAATCAGGAATTTTATTAATATAGGAAAGTGAAAGCAATGAAATTGTCAGAGTTGCATGTACAACCTTTTTTAATCCGTTCAAATCTAAAAAGATTGATCGCATACCTGCAGGAGATCGCAGAAGCCAGGTAGGTTCTTGCTGAACTGCACTACATTGACAACAGAGGGTGTGAGGACGTCGGTCAGGTAGCCTTTGACGGTACAGATCCTGGAGTACAAGTCCCCAAGGTCGCATGGTTCATCCAGGAAGTGCGACCAGGCATTGGTTCCGGGAAGGGAGAGGGCGGAGAGGTCTACGGGAAGTCTCTCGGAATGCATCTGCTGGGAATCCTGCTTCAGCTTGATCTGCAATGCCGAAAGGGAAAGAAAAACGAAGGGAAAACTGTAAGAACCATGGTTTAAATTGTGGATTTGGCCCAATAATGACGTCAGGAATAGTAAATGGATGGCATGAAATATTAAAACAAAGGAATGAAAATACAGCACTTGAATACAAAGAAAGAGAGAATTACCATTAAACAGATGATCGGAAGGATAAGATAAAACACATCTGGCAAAAGGGAGATCATGGGAAGAATATAGTGATCACCTAATGCCTAATGCCATGTATACGTTATCATGAACGTACAAAAGGGAAGCGTTTCACGGAACAGTCATGAGGACAAGTTCGTCGATATCCCATTAAACACGTGTATGAAAATGACTATACATTAACATATAATGTCTGTAAACTTGTACATGAGAGATTCGTGAAATAATGCATGGAACTCGACTTACGTGTGCAGTTGTTGTCATCTTGGAGCTGGTGACGTCATGAGCGTTAACCACCTTCTGAATGAGTGCATAAATTTCGCGATCCTTCCTCTCCCGCTCGACGATCTGCTCAGGAGTAGCCAGACTCTGGATCTCGGCAAGGTTCTTCATCTTCTGCTTCTTAGAGTAACGTCCTACGCGAACGGCTGAGGGTATGAAAAAAGGTGCGAAGGGTGAGAATAAGGTTTAAGTTTACATTATGATGATACATAGATAACAAAAAACGCCATACCTTTTCATTGACCGGAATATTGTTTCATGCTACTTCTAATAGGAAGGATATACATTAGTGCCTTCCACAACACTTTATTGTGTAATGTATGTCATTGTTTGTATAGGTACAAAGCTCAATCTATAATCAGCAATATATGCGATAAAACTTTTATTATAATCAAAAATAGTCGATCAATTAGAAAAATGTTTTGATATGTCCCGATGCAAAAAAATCATACTTTAAAATAAGCATTAAATATGAAGAAAAAAAAAATCATCGACTTACAATGAACAGACATGCCAACGGCAAGACACTTCTGGTATCTGCAGTGTGCACAGCGCCCTCTAGTGTTCTTCCCAATCTCGCAGTGTCCTTCCTTCTGGCACTGTACGATGAGGGTCTTGTTCCCGATGCAGCGTCTGAAGAATCCCTTGCACCCTTCACAGGACGTCACCCCGTAATGTATCCCAGAAGCCTCGTCACCACACACACGACACGAGGGGAGGATGGGTTTAATGGGGGCTTTCTTGCTGATGGGCGCCATCTTGGATTGGACGATGTCCACGGTGGTTTTGTTGTTGGGTCGATGTCTTTAGATAATGATGTAAGTCGGCGTTGTTGACTATCGCAAAGTCGACTTGTCGGGTGATGGGTTGGTGAGGGAAATACAAAGTGACCACCACGAATTGGATATAATCTGAAAGAACAATGCAAGAAGAAGGAGTACATTTAGTGCCAGATCTATTTCGAAATTTTGATTGCTGTTTCACTGTTGCATTCACAACTGTCGCTCCTCTTTAAATCAAAATTAACTTAAGGAAAAAGGAACAAGTTACGAAGAAGACCTTCATGAGAAGAATATCTATATTTGGCATCGCCTTGCTTGATAGTACGCCAATAACTCACTAACAAACTTTAATTTCTTACCAACACAGTGCCTACATACGACAAATAACAACACAAAAAAACTAAGACTAACCAATCACAACAAAAACAATCAAACAAACCACCAGAAGAGAGAGAGAGGGAGAGGGAGAGATATGGGGGAGAGAGAGAGAGAGAAAGAGAGAGATAGGGGTGAGAGAGAGAGGGGGAAGAAGAGAGAGAGTATGAAAGAGAGTGAGAGAGAGACAGAGAGACATAGAGAGACAGAGAAGTAGAAGAAGTCTGGCAAAGCACCAGGGAAGAGGCTGCAATATCCTTAATTGTATAATTAAGAAAATGTTCTAATTTCAGCCAAGAACGGAGACATCAAAGAGTGGCCGGTGGTCGACTTTACCAACGCAATCGTTGGTCATCCCTAGGTACCAGGGTTTCGTTGTGTCTGTCCTTTTGCTGCCACCCTCCAAGCCTGGTACATGTGTCATTTCCCCTCTCGGGGGTTCTCCGACGTTTGTCGGGGAGGCCCTCGAGTTTCCAACCCAACACAAGGGAAACCATTACATAATCTATGTAACTGATAGTAATTCCTGCCTGAATATGATCATTGTGCCTTGTAAAGACACGAGCAATTCATATGAATTTTTCATGGATTTCCTAACGTGACTCATGTAATCATCCATGATGACATACAGAATATCATCGAGCATAAAACAAATCATGTAGCATATGCATACAGTAGGGTATTCAAGCGTGCCTATGATTCAAAACACAAGGCCAGTCCATATACAACGGGGGTATGGTCATTACATAATGTTAGTTTAAAGATATTCATCCGCTTTCAAATTCATATCTTTGCTCAACTATTATATTATTCTGCAATTATGTTAAATACACATGATGAGTTTTAATATCCCTCACGATTCGTGTGTAATAGGCCCATCAAACTTCATGGTACTGGTACCTCTTTTAGGAGGTATATACTCAATAATGAACAGGTGGAATATATAGCCTGTTTTTCCCCAAAATATTATTCCTTAGCCAAGATTCCACGGCGATGGAACTCCACAGTTGTTCACTATTTCCATGAATAACCACAACAAAATAATGGAAGGTTCTGGAATATATTTCATAATATATATTTTGTAAATCGTCAAGGTTTTGCTATAAAACATATGCTTGTTTGTAGGGCTTCTATGCAGGTTTATTCTCATAAGCAGACTAGCGGCTAATGAGTTTTGCCACTTGTGACTTGTTCAAGTACCACAGAGAATGCGATCGGTTAATTACACGCACGCACGAGAAACTTAAGAGGTGAAATGTCTTTCTCTATATGGATTTCAAGTGTAGGAGAACAATTGTTTTCTTTCCATACAAGAACAGAATTTCGTGAAACCCACGGGTTATTCAAAACTGTGTTAAGAGCATTGTTCATTTTCCAATTGCTGAAGGCGAGGTCTGTAGATAACAGGTAGAGGTAAAATGAAGAAAAACTTCAAATAAAGATGTACTTTAGAAGTGTACTGTTTATTTCCCATATTCGTTGATATTTTTACCTTCACATTGAGTAATGCATCGCACTGAAGAATTTACATAATGCAATGGAGGTTTGCGATATAGTAACATTATTAACTTATTCAATAAAGTTGTGTAACTTAATAAGAGCACCATCCTCATCATTAAATGATATATTCATAAATGATTTATGATAATATACAACTATTTATATTCTCATTAAATTATGTTTACTATAATTATGAATAATATTATTATTATATATTTATCGTATATAACAATATCACCATATAACTGTTATAAATAATATGGGGTTAGCCTTTTACCAGATCATTGAAAACATTTATCATCTCCAAGACATGCACGACAAGGAATAACCAAAACTGTTCAGAGTAGCATCCTTGCATCTACACAAATAAGTCACACCAAAGCGGCATGGTATTGAAGATTAGAATAAAGATGCTCACGAGAAATGACCTTTCCAACTTGAATTAGTCGTTATGATACTTCATCGTGTACCTCCTTTTAGAGACGAAGTGCGCAACATACCACTCTCAAAGTTGAAATGCCTTGGGGTGTACGTGGTCAACAAACCAAACAAGAGAAACAAAATGATCAAACTAAGTAAGAAAAAGAATCCGATATAGGCGGTACCAAACAACTGGGTTTACCCGTTCTAAAAGCTGGATGACCAGGGACAACAAAGTTAAAGACACTGTTGATTGGCCAGAAGTGATGCATTCAACAAAAGTTTAGATTAGTCACAACAAGGTGGAGTTAACTGTACACAAGAGATGTGAATGGTGTATGTTTTTAACTCATCTCACGTTGGATTTCTTCTATTATTCTTCTCAGATATGTTTTGGTGAAAGATTACACATAAAATTGACTGGAATTGGGCCGTTTTGCTTTTCACCTAATTCAAGGTGTAGCCTGTCACGGTTTAGTCATACGATGTAACAATAAGAGCCACACATTGGTACAGCGTTGTCATTTTTATTTTTATTCCCAGGTTTAACAAAATTATGATTTTGTATTGGAGGAAGGATTAAAGGAATATTTCGTAACTGGTTCAAAATACTGCCTCGAGTGTTTTACACCCCATTCTATGTGAAGCATATAGTAATGTTTAGTCATACGATGTAACAAAAAGTGCCTCGCACTGGTTAGTACAGCCTATTGATTGTTGTCCCAAAGTATATTTTTTTCGATGATTACTTCTTCTCAAAGTTGTATTGGACGGTTGGACGAAGGATTAGAGGAAAACTTAAATGGTTCAAATCGTCTCATTGATCATTGATCTCCGTGTTGGGTGTAGCCCAGGGTTAGTCATAACCGTAATAATAAGAACCGTCCACATGTTGGTACTGCGTGTACGCTTGAGTAAATCCCGAGAGCGTCTAACTGCTTTAATGCCAACCCGTACCGCCATGAATAGATGCGGATGTTTTATGGTCAAGTTTGGTAGCAGAGGGGAAGGACTGGTAGAAGAGTACGGTACTACTTATTAATTTGATTGCATTAATGGTGTCTCGAGAACAAAAATAGTCCCAACAGAAACAAATAGCGTTTTGAAAAAGCTACTGCTAGATACAGCGAGACGTGATACAAGCCCTTTTCAGAAGATTTTACGGGAAGCGAGCAGAAAACCAGGCCTTCCGAACGTTCTAGGACGAGGCTTTCCGAGCTGCCAATTTCAATGCGTACACATAGCGTATTACGTAATAGTTCAAGAAGCAACGTTACACCAGTCATGCCATAGAAAGTTATGATTAAGTCCAAAGTTCCATATGAAACGCAATTTACTAGTCTTCTAATGATTTGTGTGTGTGTGTAGAAAAGGGGGGGTGACACGTGTCATGAAAAAAATCAATCCAATCAATTTTCAGACAGTCAACATCGGTCAAGAACCCTCATACATCGAACTATTAATTAGCTTTACAAAAGCTTCAATTTACACGATTTGAAGAGGTCTTATCGTAAGATTAACAACTTTTATTTCTCCATTCCAATTCCAATAATTGACTTGTTTTGCTGAGAATAAAAGTACAGTGTGTTTTCCACTGAAGCCTGAATCCATAGATTACCTGCCAAAATCATAAAAATAACCGCTGCATAATAATGGTGTCTCCATATATGCGACAGGCGAATTTAGTGATTGTTGTTAACAATTGTAAATGTTGCATGATATTCCTTTTAAATGGGCTTTCAAACTGAGGTATGACGAGGTATCGGTGACCGAACCAGTTATGCATGATACGAAATGCTTGATTTTAATCAAGCAGATGCAAATTTTTACTACTCTAATGGATTATTTTAACCCTTATCATATTATCGGATCGTTATCGGTACGAGATGCTCAGCTGAATTAGCATTTGTTTAAGAAAACAGTCAAATAAAATAAAAAGGACTAAAACGGATTTCGTATTCCATTATTCCAGATAAACAAGAAATACATAATCTATAGCAAATGCATGAATAGTGGCGGATAAAAGGAGTTTCTGAAAATGAATTATGCCGTTTGGAAAAAAGAGGCAATTTTCTTTTGTCGGCCTTCACACACGAAGGTTATCGCTGACACCAATCCAAGCTATACTGCTGCAGCTACACTAGGTAGACCTTTAAAGAAATAAAATGTATCTAGAAAGGATTTAACTATTGCGTCACCCGATTAGAAATAAAGAACATCATCCAAGCGAGATATTGTGAGCCTCTGCCGCCATGGTCAAATGTTGTGATGATTTATGAAGACATTCGTCAGCCCATAATTATTGTTTCGATCTAAAAACTTCGAGTGCCACTGCGCGGTCTGTGCACACAAACTACACATAATATGGAGAAGTGCGCCTCGTTGGATATAACGTGACAAGAGTTCAACCACGTTACACCTCATGCTACCTGCGCGGCGCCATTTCATGACCAATAACAATGCAGTACATGATTGTCATGCTTGCGCTTTTGCTAGTTATAAGTTGGCTGCTGATGAAATGGACATTACTGTCATAATGAAGGATGCCAAGTATAGGGCGTTGTATAGCAGCTAGGGGAAGGGGGACACGTGAAATCATAATTGTTCTTCTACTTTTTTCAAATGATTTTTTTTTGTTTTGGCTTTTTAAAGTCACAATTCAAAACGCAAGCTAAAATACAATAGAATTTAACTTAGACAACAAAAAAGAAAACAAACAAACAACGAACAGACACGAATTTACATTAGTCAGTTGTATCAAAACGACCTTTCGTTATCTAAAATCAACTTTGCTGAACGTGTTCACATCAACATATCCTGTAGACTATTCTGTCATGACAAATTATAAACTTAACTCTCGAACCATATAGGCATGCCTCTTTAAAACAAGATATTTTGTTGGTATTTCTACTGGACAATACGCCATCCATGCATGGGTACCAGTCACTAAACATCCACTCGTTATGTAATAAAAATGATGTGTGTACGAAGGCTCGGCCTCCAACGTCTTTACTCACAAAACAACCCTGGTTCGTCAATTTAAATACATACCAGTAAAATCATGATGTTAGAAAAAAAAGGATATAATAGGAAACCAAAAAAATACTGGACACACGATAGTAACGATGTCAAAACAAATCAATTGTTAGGCCTATATTCCTTATAAGCCAAACCCTCATTTTTCGTGTATTTATATGAATAATTTCGATATCGAAGAATATGGAAATTAACAAATAGACCACCAAGCAATCCCCACCCCTAGTGTTTGCCGGTTATTGGCAGATTCAAAATGTCCATGGAGTCCCAGCCCTTTTCTCTCTCTAGCTTCGTTATCATCTATTGTCTTTTTCATCGGAAATGGGCTGTCTTCAAAGACTAATTATGACGCCATTATACAGAGTGAGTCAAAAAAAAGTTTACACCTAGAAAATTGCTAATTATTAAATAAATCATCTATGAACAGTAAATTATTATACATCTTATGAAAGAGTGTTTTATCCCGAATCATTTGGTACCATTTTTGTGAGGTATGTGTTCACGCTTGGGTGTATAGGAGGCATTGTTTGCGAGAGTGCAAAAATCGACTTGCGCCAAAGTTGCCTATGTGACGTTTGAATAAAACAATTGGGATTTGGGTATTAATTCAGTCTTTTCAGATCTAAATAACACCCCTAACAAAATTAATCATGCCACACATATCAAATATCGAATATCAAATATCAAGGAACATTCGTGCGCGTGTGCGTGGGTATGTGTGACTTTGCCCTTTGCAAAAAACATATGCAATGCATTTCATTTGATACATTCGATCCATTCTCTCACTCCACTAATCCCAACATAATACATACTGAAGGTATCACTTTGGCGCAAGTCGATTTTTGCACTCTCGCAAACAATGCCACCTTTTCATCCAAGCGTGAACACATACCAAACAAAAATGGTACCAAATGATTTGGGATAAAACACTCTTTCATAAGATGTATAATAATTTACTGGTCATAGATGATTTTAAAAACAATTAGCAATTTTTCTAGGTGTAAACTTTTTTTTGACTCACATGGTATATAGAATAAAATATTATGCAAATTTTCTGAGACGTCACAATCATCAGGTGTAACATGAACAATTTCCATCGAAATGGGGGAGCAGCTGGCAGCTAAATGATTTCAACATTTTGATTGCGTTTTCATGTTCTCTGTTGTATATTCCCTCTTACAACCCGCCCTTACAGATTTTCTTTGAAAATATTGTAAGATATTTCAAACCCCCCCCCCCCATACTCATTCAAATCTCTTTAAAAATCGATAATAAAGCAATGTAATTGTATAATATATTCTTCAAGCAGCAGAGTCGAAATCTTTTCCTTTAGGACTCGAATCAACTGAAGAAAAAAAAGTCTAGAAAGAAACCTTAACGCAATAAAAAAAAAATCAACAAATCGAAAAATTGCAACAGCGACTTTTGGGAAACTCATGTCGAATAACTCATGCAAAATTCATTTTACTTCTAAAAAGTAAACATATACAGTGTACTTTGTATTTGAGATTGTAATTTAAACATAGGCCTATCCTTAATTGTGTTTACAAAATTCTGGATATCGAAAATCGGAGATTGACACGGTAATTCCTAATTGTAGCCTAAAGTTTTACCACTTTAATGCTGGTATTTGGTCAGTATACTATGAAAAATACTATGAAAAAGACAGCTTGATGTGTTCCTTGAACAGCATAGGACGTCCTTTATTTAGTTTTATCTTAAGAACCCAGCAAAAAATGCTATTATCTCGTATCACTTGCCATCATTAATCTTTATTACGTAATCTTACCGACTTACCGTTATGTCAATAAAATAAGATATTGAATGGCGGTTTGTCGTTAAACCAGGAGCGGCAGACCTTAGGCACATAACGCTCTTCAAAACACAAGAATCTTCCTTTTTATTTGTCTGTACTTTTTTTTCTTCTTCTTTTCATAGTCTCCTCCCCCCCCCCTTAAACTTACCCCGTTCTTAATATACAGATAATACATTAATTTGATTACATTATAAAAATCATGCTGTGGGATTCCTGTTCTTCTAACAATCGGGCTACTCGATTTCAATTTTTGTCTTTCATTATTTTCTAATCGTTTTAACCTCCCAAATATAACAGAGCCATTTTACAGTGGTCATCGGAAAAGGAGAAGAAAAAACCAACAGAATCCTACAAATTGTAGGCCAATGTATATCATTGCCGAAAATACAGTGCATATAATGACAACGAAGACATTGATGGCACCTCCACGCCAAATGCTGCGTGACTTTTGGGTCAGTTCTATTTGCTGTCTTTCTCGCATTGTCGCGATAAGTAGCCAACAATAAAAACGTGACTCGCAACGAGGTTTAAACGCACTGTCTGCGGTAGCCCATCCATGTCCATCTTTTGCATATAGTCACCATGTATGAAGAATGACCAATGCCTTATCATTATTTGGAGGATATAAAAATGGCGAAAAAAGTAATCAAATCCGATTGCTAGCATTCGTGAACTAACGGGAATAGTCCTTTCGCATACAAAATGTTACGCTTTTTGGTTATACAGATAAAGTCGGTTTTGCTGATTTAAAGAACGAGATAAAAAAAAATGTTATGGGGGATCGAGATGTTATGAAATTGAGAAAGAAATTTACAGTGTTACAACGGCAGCATGAGCTATAGCTGCACACGAAAATCCCATAAATTCCATACATTTTACGATTGTATAAAGTTTTTGTTTTATAACAATCTATGGCTTCACTTTTATTCTAATTAGGCCTCTTCAAAGAAAATGTGCATTCAGTTGTGAAGTACGGCCTCGAACGAGGCCGTACATTTTGACCTATATTTATGTTGTGAAAACATTAACGTTAGGAAAGTCCTGGATACAATTAGGTAAAAAGAAGAATATAAGGTTTCAAAACGGGTCAGAGAGAAAAAAATGAAATTGCAAGTAGGAAAACACTCTAGATGTATTTCTATCTCAAAACAAATTACGTATTTGGTGCTTATGAAAAGCATTGCATGATATTAAAAAAAAATTCTCCAGAAATGAATGAAATTTTAATAAACATATGATATAGGCTAGTACGGTCACCTACCTCAGAAACTTCAAACGTCTGTTCCGTTCTCCTTGCAGTTTACAGATAAGTTACGTTTCAAACAAAACCACGTCTCTTAGACAATATCAGGATTTGAGCAATATCTCATTATGACAATTGACATCATTAAATAAATGACATAGGCACAAGAAGACAGGTAAACCCCCAGTGTCTGCATCCTCCGTGCCTGGAGTGATCACCTGGTGCGAAATATCTTTCAAATGACTGTCAAAAAGTTTGAGGATTAACGAGACAAGATGACGAATCAAGAGCCTTTAGCGTTGGCGACGGTGTTGTGGGGCATGCATGTAGTGTGTGAAGATGACCGTTCTGACATGTTTGACCCAGATATTGTGACTGCAGCTAGCCGCGAGACGATGACATATGTGTCGTGCGTGCGAGCTTGACATCACGGGCTTCGGCCAAAATAATACAACCCGGAATCTGTTATGTCTGTGGGCGAACTCCTCGAGTACGATCGAGTGCGTCGCCGCCGATGGAGGAGCCGCACAACAGCTGGCAGCGCACGGTGTACGAGACCGTCTGCCTGTTGCACCCACCTGTGTCTGCGAGGGGGTGATGACCAAACACTTATCATCGACTTTCCTTTTTTTTATCAGGGAAATCCCAGGCTCTTCGAACTCGAGGCAGAAAAGGCGATAAGATATCCGACTTGTTCAATCAATTATTTATCAATGATGGACGAATTGACAGGTCTCCACTGCTCATCTGCCAGAAATGGCGTGAATTCAAGAACTATATAGATTTCATTCAGCCTTTAATTCGGTTGTATTGGGTTGATAATTACAAGATACCATGTTAATTGAGAACATTTCATTTTTTACCTCAAATACAGGTATAGGTCTTCAACAGTTTTTATGAGTTTTTTTTATGGAAAGGCCATCCGAATCATACAACTGTTTGGAAGACTCAATAAGGTTTATCATCGTTTAGACTATATAGTCTACATAGTGAATCGGTTTGATCCGAGAGGTATAGTTGTTAGGAGCTATGCAAAATTTAAAAAATAAGTTTACGAATTCTTATACGAGCTTATTATTGATTTAACGCTTTTAAAGTTTAGAAAATAAAGTTAGCTCGTTAGTCACAATCTATGTGTCTGCTACAAAGATTATGATTGCAGTCTTCGCGCTCATCAAGGCCTCATTACGTAACAAAGGGTTGCATAAAGTAGGCCTACGGTCGAGTCCATTTTAATGAGGATGTGTTCTCCGAGCATATCTCCGTGATAAAACATATAACATAAATGCTAAACAGAGCTCACACATGCACGTTATCGGAGTTGAGAAAAGAAAAAAAAAGAGGGTCTTTTTCTTCTCCTCCTCCTCCACCTCCTCCTCCATTTTCTCTTTCTTATTCTACTTCTTCGGCATGTGCCCCTGTGCTCCAGTAACTACGCCTAACGATCATGAAACCATTCAACAATGTTTACATCTAAAACGCCTTGTGCAGCTTCAAAGTACATGGCGTACATTATTGAAGCGTCTCATGATTCTGTGTTACACCGATATTAAGACCGACACCAGACCGAGAAGAGACTGAACGAAAGATTACATGTATTAGGTTCATGATTATACCGAGTGATACATAATCGGTCGGTTAATTCAAAGTCGGTTAGCGGTGTGACTGAAGGTAGCTAGAAACCGTCATAAGAAGGCCTACATTGAAAATGCATGTGATACATGGAGTACATGAACAAGCAATTTATTGTTGGTATCATGAACAAAACATCACATTTGTATGGATAGTTATGCTGAGAAACACAATTGATTGCCACATTTGGAGATATAACTATGAGGTATAGTTCACCGATTCCCTGCATGTGTGGAGGCAACTTCTCCGAATGTGGCTAATAGACGACATAGATGGCGCTAGACCAAATCGTGAATTGTCTGCATTAGAAACATTAGAAATATTTCTGTCTTCCACAGTTTGTCACACCAAACAGTTCTGTATGGTGACCATTATTATTTATCAGTGCAAAAAAATTATTCTCCTATCGAATATTAACATCTCTACTTCAACTTTTTAGCTGCATTTCATTAGATTATACATGATAGTAGGACAAACAGTTCTTTAACTTCCGGTTAATTTTATATTGCTAGTCGTGGTACATTGTTAGTAATTTTCCTATGAATTGCGTGTTCTTTACATCTTGCCCGCCTGTTCCAATGCCAGAAGCTTTTCCTTGTGTGTCACCACAAATTTCCTCTCAGTTTCTCATGTTTTTCTTTTGTTAACAAATGTAAACTTGTTATGAACGATTCGTACATCAAACACCTGACACTCTACGTAACAATTCGACATTCAAGCTTTCCGCTATCGATTGCAAGATTTTGTACCAACAAATGCAGATAATATTGCAAAATCTTTTCAAGACACACACGTGAAAAAGAAGGCCATTGAGCCCGCGTTCAGGCGGGAAATAATGAAAGCGTAAACAAATTTTGATCTTTCATGTTTTTCATTGTACATGTATTATATAAAAAGGGGATTTTCTTTTTTTCTTTCGCTTCATCAGCGATCAAACATGTTCATGGTGTTGTTGGAAAACGAAGAAATTGGGTGTTCGATTACACTGAAAAGCACTCAAATTCGATGAATATCCGCGGGATATAAGCTTGTTCGTGTTTGCTACCAAAGCAACGGGTACTTTTTGTGATGGATTTTCAAGAGAAGATAAAACGAGAAAATGAAGGGTTGCAATAAAGAATAGACTCGAAGTTTTTTTTTCTTCTCATCTTAATTTTGTAAATGAATCCCCTGTTTATTTCGCGTTAGCTGAAAAAGTCGAGAAATGGGTCAAATTGAGTGCGTTTTTTTTTGTGGGGAGACACTGGTGAGAAGGTTTGGGGCTATTTATCAACGGCGAGTCCTTAGGGCAAGTAGCAATTCGATCAGAGTTATATGTCTGTAATAAAGCATACCCGTTTCGTTCTGGGGTCTAATTTTCCGGCTTGCATAAACTTCGTTAATGATATAATCCCTCGAAATTTATTTTAGAAGTGATTCGCAGAATTACAAGGTAAGTCCTCGTTTTTCAGGCTCAATTTGTTTTCTAATTATGAAAGTACGCTGCATCTAGTTATGCTCCTCAATGAGTTTCCCTATTCAATTCATCCACGCAATTCAATCGAGGTACAAATTAATCAATAATCAGAAGCAAAGAACTGATACGAGAAATATAAATTAAGTTGCATTTCCATCGCTTTCTCCAACGTATTCTAATTAAATATGCATAATTTTATAAAAGCTCCAGACCTTAGAGGCATAGCTATACCAATAATCCTCTTGCAATAGCGAAACCAGGGGAAAGATAATGAAGAAAACATGGCCGAAAAGGGGGAGGGGACAATGTTTTTTTTTTTTAAGATACGACATCCTGGCCCTCCGACGATGGCATAGTCCTCTCGCAATTTATCCACCTAATAATACCCCCATGGCACTCGTGACCCCCCCCCCCCCCCCCCTCCTCAATTGCTACATCCACCCTACGCCCCTGTCCGCTCTCATCCCCCCTTTTTTCCCCGTTCGGACACCTCCTTCAAGATCGGCAACAGGTCAACGGTACATCGGCTAATGTCGGGCGCTAATGCATGCAAATATCCAGGGACTAGGGTATTCCTAGAAACATCACGGGATACAAGAGAAATGAAATCTTGCAAAAACAAGCCTTAGAAAATATGAAGATACAATGTTGGACTGCTGATGTGATAATGACCTATGGCGGTCCACTGCCGATGAATAGAAAACCACGAAGCAATTACTAAGATGTGATGTGTCTCATTGTTCAGGTACGGGTATAGTGTAACGTTTTGATCAGTGTTTATCGAGAAGATAATTCTTTTTTTTTGAGCCCTCTATCTGTGTTTGAGGGAAAGGTGGATTCAGGGGACTGTCCCTCCCTACTGAGAGAGAGAGAGAGAGAGAGAGAGAGAGAGAGAGAGAGAGAGAGAGAAAAGAAAGGGAGATAGAGAGAGAGAGAGAGAATTAAGGTTTAAAAAAGTAAATTGCTTGCGTTCCCCTGTGCTTTTGGTGACCAGATGGGATCCCCACGATTCCCGGAAGAAAACAAAAACGAATCGAACCACCCCCCCCCCCCCGAAAATTTTCGTTACAATGCTGTGGGATTTCTGAATGGGAAAAAGAAACAGATATTTGGTGTATATATACATATCGTCATATGAGTAGCTGGTGGTTAACACTGATGAAAGGGAGTGCCATAATTATTCAGAATAAGAGAAACTATAATCGAATGAATCCGTTGTATCAGGACTCTTAATTCACTGTCTGTGTTAATTTACCTACTTTTTCCGTTTTATAACAGTGGCGACTGATGATTTGCCTGACAGTGTACTCGATACTGTTAACGTATCTATTACTTTTACTCGCTGTTGTATTTGGGAGTGTACTGAGGAGAATAACCGGGCTGAGAAATAGAACAACCCGTTGGCTTAATTTGACCTAGTGAAAAAGAAGAGAGAGAGAGAGAGAGAGAGAGAGAGACTATTTCCCAAAAGATTCAGGCAAGCGGATATGTAATCCACGTTGTTCTCATTTTAAAAAATGCATGGAAAGGCTTGCTTGCTTTATTCAACGGTCGAAATATGCATTATACAACTGTCAAAAAGAGAGAATGTTGCACTGATTGAATGGGTACGCTCAAACCCTTTAATAACCAAATATGGTAGTACGATACCCGATCTTAATAGAGGGGAGAATCCCTAATCAGTCGTTCAAGGTTCCTGAAGAATATGAAGACCGACAGAGAGCTGAAGAGGTAGTTGAAGTGAGAATCTTAAGTAAAGACGCGACAGGAGAAATAGAAACCAACATCGAAAATGGAACAAAAATTCACATCAGATCGATTGGTAAATGTAACAAAATACGCAGCTAAATGAGTGAGAGAGGAATTTATGGGTACATGGAGGGGAGGGCTGACATTGGAGAGAAGATCAACAGACATGAATTTGCTCTTTGCAAATTCTATGAGAATGACATCAAAATCTTAGGGCAACATCCTTACTATCTACCAATCTGTATACATTCCAAATATGATGGATATACACTTATGTACATCTTACGTCCATCGTGTTTGTAAATTTGCTTTACGTCGAGTCCTTTGCCTAAGGCATTTAATTAGCCTTGATTCATTAGATATATATTTTATTTCATCTTACTTCTTTGTTTTCATTCGCTGATCCCTCTCGCTAATACATTTAGCGTGCAAAACCATGACAATTAAGTACACAGCGAAGGGAAAAAGATAGATGGTTTGACAGCTTGGATACGAGATACACGAAATTTGATGCTTATTAAGACCGCTAGTCAATGCCATTGGACAATTGAATATATCACGAGGGAGTTTGCAGAACATTTCTTGACAACGTTTCCCTCGAAGACATAACACTTAATGCAAGACCAATCGTTTAGGGAACTGGAAGAAAAACGTAGGTTGTATTACCGATCCTCGATATAAAGATTCTGATTGAACAGCCTTTACTTCTGTCGAATTATAGCTGTAAACTTTTGACAATACGTTTTGTTGATGTACATGTTTGGGATGAAATGATGTACAGGACTGTTTTTTAATTGTCTAATTGTAAAGCAAAGTATTTGAGACACCAAAATTGACGAACAAAAACAAAGTGATATATTCTGTTCCAAAGAAAAGGCTATAAAGTTGGTGGGTGATTTAGGCATTCTTATCGAAATTAGGGAGACATGGTTATACCAAGGAGTTATCAGCACAAAAAGGGGCAATTTATATCTCTTAGCACACTGAATAATGTATTTTCCCCCTGAATCTTTACGTCATGCTATATAAAACAATTCATGATAGATTCGTGAGCAACTTAATCAATCTCATTTATTTAAAAAACTATAGCAATGTAAAACACATCGTTGTTCCAAATAAAAGGAAGGACACTCAATTGATGAGATGAAAATACAGGAAATATACAGAAAACGTCTTCAAATAAAAGAAATCAAAGAAGTCGGAGATAATACGATGAAAATGACCCCTGATTGTAACCACTGGACCCGAGGAGCTTGAACGTGAAAGCTAATGTTTCACATTCTGCCAAATACGAAACCGGAAGAGTTTCGTATCTCTTTCCTCGTTAAGCCTTTGCGATTTAAGGACACCTTACTAATGCTTCGGGTCGATGGTGAACACGTGACCAGCAGGGTAAGATAAAACAAAGACGAACCTTATACATCTTGCTAAGGTATCCGAGTTCTTTTGGCATATCTTCGACCTTTCAACATGAAGACATGACGGAAATATTCTAGGCATCATGATTCTACGAACTTGGTGATCCTTAAACTTTACATTGTGACTGCATCGTTTCCAGTCTTCGTAACGTGACACGTCATGAATTCACACGAAAAAAAAAGAGACAAGAAGCAGAACAAAAAGAAGAATATAATGGATGAAAAGGAACTGGTTGCATTTCATATTTCATTTTTTAAGCATGTTTAGGGTTTCAGAGATTACGTGTCCCAAAGAGAGAAACATACTTGATTTCAATTCAAACAAAATAAAGTCAAAATTATGCTGAATATTAAAGAAAGATATATTTTGGCAAAATCGAATACTCTAGCGTTGCTTCTTGGTCACCGACACTTGCAAGTAAATTTTGTTGAGCAAGCACCCCCCCCCCCCCTTATGAGGAATGTTCTGATGACGCCCCCTTAATCACGTGAGTGTACTACCAACCGAAGCCAGCTCAGCTTTTCT